GCGGCGGCAAGACGCCATTAAGCGACGTTGACGTCACGTGTGGCTACAGACTCAAGAAACAACGCCACACATGCGACGCGTAAGATGGCAGTAATGGAAGTCCATACGAATGTTTTTTAAAAAATAAGGTGAAAGACCAAATTTAGACTAGACACCATAAACACACACGTTTTCTTCAAGTTTTTAGATTTCTCAATGTCAGTGATTCTCATTTTCTAAACAGATTCTATTGATTTCAGGCAGTCAATTTGAATTTGCCAGATAGAATTTTTTTAATAATTATGTCGTTTTGAATCGCCCAGATATTATTACTATGACTTGGACTCGTTAAATTAGAGACATTTCCTGTTCACCACTTCCACTGCTACAGCCTACTGTCCGGTACGGTACCCTGACGTCATAATCGACGCATCAAGCACAGAAGATACATGTACATGTTACTAGAACCCACGTTAACTATTGGACAAGACTGCGATTTGACTCGCAGCTCGCTGTTGCGAGTGTTTTATTTAAAATTCTGTCGTTACAGGAGCGTGGTACAAGGATATCCTCATTATCAAACCATGGGCAAAGCATTAATTAAGTTCAGACTTCGGAACTAAGCCTGTTTTGTATGTGTGCACTGACGCAAAATCCACCATTTTTGTTCCAACAATTGAGGCATTAATGTCGCAACTCTCTCAGTAAACAGCTCTAGCACTAACTTCTATAAAAGTATCAATAAAGATTTCTGAACTATCCAACAATCAGAATAAATTCAATTACTCTCAGAGGAAGAGGAAAAAAAGACATATGCTGTTCAGGTTTAAGATGTAGGAATGTGATACATATTACAGAATGCATTTTTATACCATGAACACTGACGCCTATGTAGTGTCATATCCCCCCGCGCCTACAATTTCCAGCACACTAAACGCCACTGGAAGGAAGTCTTGAGCACGTAACGGCTTCAGACGAATAAAGTATTGTCGGTTACATGTTTCGTATGCAAGGTGACCAGATGAAAATTATGCTTGATTTGTTTCACAAAATTCCGCTACAGCAAAACTTTTCTAAATCACAAGAAATCACCCGAAAGCAATAATACATACATGTAGCTGCAGTTACAACACAGGCAAACACTTCCTCATACAACAAAAAGTTTCACTATGAGTTGATCCCAATTTAGCGGGTTGGATATTTTGCACTCTCTCGCGCTACAATAAATTGCGCAGTATGATTTTTTTCTACCGAACCTCCCGCTAGTCCGCATCTACTTTTCGCATTGAAGAGGTTTGATTTATCTGCTAAAATTACCTGACAGAAATCTGTTAAATTCTTAATAATCTGCCAGATTTTCCACCAGTTTTAATTTCTCCATCAAATGGTGTATCATAGCTCAAAAACAACTGGAAATTTCTCAGATATTTCTCGCAGACTTGTTTGCCAAGATGGGAGAATATATCACCATAAACTGACTGGCAGAAACAAGGCGTGGCCACCCATTTTCAAATTGCCCCACCCATTTTGCTGACTAGAGGCTCTTGGCAGAGGGCGCTCTTAACCAAAACCAAAACGTCACTTGGAAGAATAAAAAGTAAACTAGCTTCAAATCGTATGTGGGCTGTAATTACTGCAGCGTAGATGGCTTTGTGCAAACAACTTGGCTATGGCTGTGATAAATACACGCAACTATGAATGTAGTAAGCTGAGGCTTCGATCAGTCCATTTTTGTACACCTAAAAGCTAATCCTAGCCACAGTCTGTCACTACTTCAAACGCACAAGGCTGGCATCATTGTGCGCCTATTACACTGAATGACTGGAAAAGAAGTCTATTCAATCTAGTGACCCACTGACCGATCCCTACCGCATCAGTCATCCAAAATGGCGTTTCGTAGCGGGAACGGTGAGTCATAACATTCGTCTTATTATCGTTAATTCCAGGAACAGTTTTCAACAAATTATCTACATAATTTGTCTTTTATATAGATTTTGTAATTAGGCATCGATTTGATAACAACAAAGTGAAAATATTCATGTCAGTTCGTGAAAAGTGCTGACTTTCGGAGCAGAGTGTGGTGTACATGTAGAATGCGCTGTTTTGGATATGGACTTTCTGCAGGGGCCTTGGCCCATTTAACTTAGGACTAGTATAGTAATGAAGCAGTGCCATGCTTGACAACATTACACTTCTTGTGACTGTGTTACACCCCAACTGTAGCGTCAGTCCCAACTTCAGTTAGGATATTTATCATAGTCCCTTGCTGTACATGCTGTCTGTAGCCTGTAGGCCTAGTTTGGCTGACCCACTGACTCGGGCTATCGACATGATGGAAGAGGAATCCATCATCGATGTTTTATTGTTTTCATTACCAGTATGAGTGATGGCTAATGAGCAGCATTGTGCAACGGATTGCTCCTTAACGTACATTGCGTCCACAAGATGTGAGAGCGATGTTTGATCATGCATAAGACAAGCATCTAGTGTAGAACTTAAAAAGCCAAGGTCCATGGCTGTTAAAACAGATGCTATGGTTGCACAGTTAAACCAAATCAGCGATGTATGAATTCAGCTTCCCAGCTGATATCAGTTTTTTTTGTAGATGTTGACCCAGAATTTCAGCTTTTTTGTACACCAGGTCTACAAAAGTATGGGAACTTTTTACATTTCGGCTTTTTGCTAGCTGTTTTCAGCTTTAATTTTAAGTGGCCACTCACACCCCTGCCAAATGTACATTTGTAAATGCATAGCAATTTACTGTGATTGTTCAGTAACCTGAGACCCAGTTTTGAGTATTCTCAGCTGAAGTTTTGTCAACATTCAAATATATGTGGAAGAGAATTTTAAAAAGATATATACAAGTAATTTATTGAAATTTTTTTAGATGTGAAGGTTTTTGTTTCATTTTGAACCAGATTTCCACTATGAAAGTTATCATCTGGCCAGCATGGTTGACATGAATCCTCTGTTAATGTGATTACAAAGTGACAAAGGGCAGGCCTGCATTAATTTCTTTGCTGTTTAACTAGCCTATCCCATCAAAATGTAATTGAAGCAATGTATGGTCACAACCAACTTGGTAAACACCCAACAATTGTCACTGGCAGCAATTTAGGGTAGTTCAAATTTCCTTCTCTGGCTTCTTTTAGGATCCCAGTTTTCTCACGACTTTAATTTTCCTGACTGGCCTGATATGATTCTCCCATTTCCCCAATTTAATTGGAAGCAATAAAAGACTAGTGTTATTTCTCAGTATTTTTTTGTATAAAGTACATCTGTTTCAGTAGGGCTGGGCCGAATAACTGAACATTAGATCGATTGTCGAATATTCGAATACTGTTCTTCGAATTTGAATATTCAAATACAAAATTCATGAAAAGGAATGGACAATTTTTTGTTTTAAATGAGAAAAATTGCACTATGGAGGCTTATTTCAAGCAGATTCAAATGAAAAGGAACAGAAATCATACAACGAATTAAAAAGTAACTAATTCTTAAAAATTTTTTAAAGGAATAGAAATTTTCAGCAGGGCAAAAAGTCTTGTTCATCTTTTAAATCTTGCTAAATCGTGGCTGGAGATACTCCTGGATATGAGAAGCTATGATATTGATCATAATGTACAATTGTGTGTGCTATTGGAACTGATTTTGTATATGGTATGTTCAACTATCTGCTGCTCGGTGCAACTGAATATTCAGATATTCGATCAAATTGAAGGTGGAATATTCGAATAGTGAATTATTCAAATTGACTCAGCCCTATGTTTCAGTTTGTCGACCCTTAAATTCTCTTCAATATTTTGTTGTTAGTTTAAGATTCATATGATCATGGTAACTTCTTGCAAAAGAACTCATTCCTTTGTAGCCATTAAAAGCAGTGAAAAGTCTTTGCATTTTGTTATCATTGTTAAAAGCCCTGCTGGACATTTCTTCAAAGCTGATTACTTCTCATCTCCAAATCTCACCTGGGGAACATTTCTTGAATTTTCCACATATTAATAGCTTCATTTACTTTATTTTATCCTTTTGAAGTCCACTGGATTTTTTAAAAAACTGATATGAGTTTTATAATTGGAACTTTCAGAGGCTTCCAAACGCTCCTTGAAGCTGGATTTCACCCGCATCACCCCTCAAAATGACAACGAAATCCACGAATCCACAGTGCCGGATGGGATGTCCCCCAGCCGACTAAGTCTGGTAACCAGCCCCAGCAATTCCAGCATCAGCAGCACGCACAGCACACACAGTAGCAATGGCAGCAGTGGAAATCAAAGATACGAGTCACCCCTGTGAGTAGGCCCAAAACAATTGTCTTCTTAGAAAATTTTTCAAACTTGCAGTCTACTTTTAACAGGAAATGGTGAAATGTTGATTTTCTTATTGGAAAATGTTCAAGATGTGTGCAGAAAGAGATCGAAAACATTTGGAAGTGAATGCATTCTGAACACAGTTGGCCAGTTCCAAAGTGGAATTTATCATATTTGAATTTTGTTGTCTTAATTTCTTTGACAGAGTTACTAAACAGACCTTTTTGATCAGCAATTTGCTGGTGATGTCTACCACATGACAAATACGCCAAAGCAGGAAGTGATTTTTTTTATAGTTTCTTGTGGTTGGAATAGAATGAAATGTTTCCTAATAATAGAAAGCAGACTTTCTTCAAAAGGAGTAATTTGTGTCAAAAATATCTCATCCTGACTCCTAAAGGCCACGGAATGTACAACAAACCAGCTGCGTATACTTTTTCAGTGCACATGTAACATTATTGGGACTTATACATGTACCTCGCATTAATTAGGTACAAATGTACATGTAATCGTAACTGAACAAAATGCTGTCAGATTCTAAAACATGAAAAGCAGTTATGTGACTAACCATGCATACAATTAATCAATATTCTGCTGTATATATGGGAGCCATAGAATGTTTTAGAACTGGATATGTTACCTGCTGAAGCTTGGTATAATTCATCAGGTGCCTTCTCGTGAATTTGCCTGTCATGAATTGTACATACCCAATATTCACCCTAACCATGCTAAGCGCAAGCCCAGCAATATCCAACAGTAGTCTCCTTCCATTGGATTTTGCTGATATGAGTCGCGAACAAAAGGGCCTTTTGTTGCAGCTGTTGGGTTCTGTTGGGTTCACCAGGGTGCCCAGAAATTACCCAAAGGTGTTCAGGGTTAAAAAGGGTCCAAGCAATTTTAAAGAAATGGAATCCTCATAGTGCGACTTGTGCCCTGTTTCCCCGGTTACAATTATGGAATCTGGTCACCATCCAACTGGTACCACATGCACAGGTCCCCTGGTTGAATCTTTTACTAATTGGAAAATGAAAATGAAACAAGGTCAAACTAGGACCATTGAAAGCTGTCACGTTCTTACAAACCACCTGTGAACAGAAAGTTCAAGTGATTATGTTTTACATGTGTTGGAGTTCACAGAGGTACATTTACCGCTTGTCACATCAAGTGTGACAGCTGTTGGTCTGCTGTTGGATCTGAATCATAGTTTGGGCCGTCATACATGTATACAAGCTTGTCTCAGTCGAGGCATCTCAAAATTGTCAGCGGCAGAAGAACGAGTCATGAGGTACACGTATGCTCAAGTGTGAACCATCCCACTCGTAGGCCATGCAGTTAAAAGGAAACGTGCAGTGAATTTCAGCTCAACTTGTTTTCAGGCAGATCACTAAGTGTTACAACAATATAAACAAGATCCAAATACCTGTTCCAAGATCGACGGAGCTGCTGTTGTTACAAATTACAGTAACACTTCATTTAATGAAAAGGTGGGAGTGATTCCCCTCGAATGTTTAGAACAATGTTCTACTTCCTACGTGTATGTACGAAAAAAGAGCCCTGTTATGGGCACATGGTCTGCCAGGATTGCACGCAATGCCATTTGTTATAAGGTGTGCTTCATATTTTAAGGGTACCTGAGCACTCGGTATTGACATAACACGGGTACCTTGTTCCAAAAATTCCTGTAAACAGACACTCCTATTTACTACAGAGGAGGTGGAAAGTCTTTGTAACATGTAATAAAGATGTAATTCATGCACTCTGGTCGTAAAAATCCTATTACACGTACACGTCCATGTACACTGTCCTTTAAATAGGATGTGGTGACTCCAACTCATGTCATCCAATATTTCCTTCACTATTTCCAAGCCAGGCCGATGTTGATGTGAGTAAAAAAAAAGTCATTTCACATTTAACTACATATACATGCGCTTCAAAGCACACCTTTGTGTGGAAGGACTTCGTACAGTAGACAAGGGCTCCCAGATTTGTATTTTGTCATTTTGCCAGCACAGCTGAGAAATTTTCCTGCCAGGTTCATTACGTTTAGGGACCAGTGCTTCACCAATGAATCATTGTAACTTTTCATGATCCTGGACATGTCCTATTCGTTCTTGTTGACAGCGACAGAATGCGTTCACGTAGCCTGGACTCCATTGGCAAACTCAGCATATCGGCCATGGAGGTAAGATCTAAAACTGAAAATGAAAGACGTGTCAGTTCACTTTTGCATAAACAGTCTAATTGACACAGGAAGCCTGTGTAGATACATGTATGTGGCCTACAGGTACAGTGGCGTAGATTTCCATGAATCTCAAAGTATTTCTTTTTTTTTAAGCATGGTAGATGCAGACAAGTATTTTCAGCCAAATGGAAATTGCCAATCACTTGAAGATATTAACAGGATCTAATCACTAAAACACACTCAAGATTGCAGCTTGAAGTTTCCTTGTATGCTGTTTTGCATTTTTTTTTCATGAAACAAACCAATGACTAGGTGCTTACCTTGTAACTGTTAACAGAGAAATTGACTGAAGGGGGATTTGAATCTTCGCCCTTTAGATACTGTACCTTTGCTCTCCCAAATAAGTAGGTAGTCCCTCCTTTTTGTCAGTATTTATGTTTGAGGGTCTCCAGTCTGAAGCCATAAAATAGCTAACACCATATTGCCAGGGATCACCGCCCAAAGTCCTGAAGGGTACTGGAGAGGTTCACTCCAGGAGGAGGCAGGTTTTCTGAACACAGATCATTTGTTGTCTTTTGACAGACGTACGACTTCACATCAGATGATCTAGAAGACAGAGGAGAGATAGGACGTGGGGCTTTTGGCTCTGTGAGCAAGATGTGGCATTCTAGAAGCAATACCCTCATGGCAGTCAAGGTAACTAAAATGTCATTCATGAGTCGACGGTATCAAATTGAAAGAGAGGGTTGCTTTTCATTTTGGGAATCTGAGAATAGAAATGAAAGCAATGGGTAAGAATTCATTATAAATTAACACAGGTTTCTGCTGAGGAAAAGTTTGCATTTGTAATTTTTTGCCACATGAAAAAATTGCAAGTGAGGCTTGGATCACAGAATAAGCTGGCACCATCCAATTCAACAGATTACACTGAATGAAGTAGATTCAGGGAACACCACCAAAAATGGCTTCCCTGCGATTAAGGTCTGCACAGGTACACTCTTTGTGGATGCGCTACACTAAATATGCACCCAAAGCAAACATTGCGAAATTGGACAGAAATAGTCCTGACTGGTGACTCTCAGGAAGAGGGTGGCCTTGTGTTTTCAATGGGAATTCCAGATTGTGGCCAGAAGCTCAGTTGTCGTTTTGCTCTTCCCGAAACACCCCCCCAAAATAGTAGTAAACTAATGTGCTCAGCTCTGAATGTAGCCGCCTGAATCTATGCAAATAGCCCCACGGGTTAGAGGTTTTTGTGAACGAAATCCCCCAGTGGGAAGCCACAAACCCCAAATGTGTGATTTATGGAAATATCTCTCGATCGGTCCCAGTTACAGCGCCGCTTATCGTAAATTACCCGTTGACTCACCAAAATTGTAATGAGCCCGCATGTAGAAATCGAGCCATTTAGTGGAATGCACCCTTTTGTGGTTTTAATGTATTATCCTCGGGCTTTTTATCGTTGGTGGCAAGAACGGTATCTTTGTCAGCTTTTTCATTTGATCTCCTTTCTTTGAAGAAAATTTTAAGATGTGAACAAAGTTCAATTTACTCCTGATTTGAAAAGTCTTTGATTTGATAAAAAAAGCTAAACTTTAAGCTTGCTTTGCACTACCCTCAACAGCATTTACTAGATCCAACAAATAGTTGTTGGTTTTTCCGCAAGGGAGCTTATCTTGAATAGTTCCAAAAATGGTAAAATGGATGGAATTCTTACCACAACTTCAGTGGAATATAAAGAGGTGTGAGGCTACAGATTTTTTTTCCTGTAAAAAAACTGTTACGTTAAATTACCTAGCCCCTGTTCAAAATCTGTGACTTTATAGATTTCAGGCAAGTTTGATCAATTTCTGTCTTGAAACTGCACTCGAGGAGGCATTTCTTATGTTAAGGTGGCACAAAGACTCACTATAAAGTAGAGTGTGTCGCCCAGTACATCTAGCCTCGTGAAGTTGCTAGAAATTGTATATAGAAGCAATCAAAAATTTCCCGGGGTTATCCATTTGAAGTTGAGAAAAACAAATTGTGTATTTTTTGAAACTAGAAGTTGCAGCTGTTGATTTAGGCGACTGTTATTATACTACAAAGTGTTTGGGCTTTTCACAGAGAATTAGGTCAACAGTTGATGAGAAAGAACAGAAGCAGCTACTCATGGACTTGGATGTCGTCAAGAGGAGTAACCACTGTCCATGTATCATTAAATTCTATGGAGCACTCTTCAAAGAGGTAATATATGTTGCTCTGACCTTGACCCTAACCTTCCCCGACCACACAGAATTAAACAGTAGTAAAGTGTTTAATTCTGTGGGGATAGGTCTGGTAGGCTCAGACAGCTGGCTTTTGCATTGGGTTTGGCGTACCTCAGAAAAACTAAGTCCAACAGCCTCTGTGCACAAAGTCCCATGTGGGTGTTTAACTTTGTGTGAATGGGGAAGGTTAGGGCCAGCAACCCTTGCTCTCCGCTGTGCATGCATGGTAAGATGAGGTCTTTATTCGGAGCCAAATCTACCTGTCAACTCTGTTGAGCCTGATGGTATTGCAAAATGGATAGGTTTTCACAGCAACTGTTGTATGCTCAACTGTTTGGTGAAATGTGGTCAATGTATTTCTCAGTGTTTGTTATTACTGCGAGATCAAACAGTTGAATTCCTATATGAGAGTAAAGCATTGAATCCAGTTATCAGGGATTAAAATTCTAAATACTTGGGTAAATTTACACTGGAGTGCCAGTACTAGTACGGTAAGCTATTTTTCTCAGGTGGGCTCCTGAAAATTCTCTTTTGTCCGGAGAATTTGAAGCGTGGGGACGCTGGTGTGTCCTCACAAAGTTTCGGTGTCCCCGCAATGACTTTGACGTCACACTTATATTGGCCTGTGCACATTGTCCCTTTCATTTGTTCTTGTAAATAGGCCACCATGCTAATCTGTGGTTTCTACATGCGATCCCGTGCTCAAAAACCTCTATCGATAGTGCCAACTTCGTGAGAAAATTGGACCTCTCTCGGTTTATGTCATGTTCTACCGTCTACATTGTACGGTTTCAGTTTCTGCCTTAAGAGGCTAGAAAATTGGTCATCAACACAAAAGAAAAGAAATAAAGAATGAAGATGCAGCTCTCTCATAGAAAGGAGACTTTGAGGCAAAATCGGACAATGACCAAGAGTTTGCAGGCAATATGAGTGATGTCTGTAGACTCAGAGGTTTATCTTTCCATGCTGACGTTGCTTTTTACATTGCAGGGCGACTGCTGGATATGCATGGAGCTGATGGATACCTCGTTAGACAAATTCTACAGATTCGTGTGTGAACATCTCAAGAGCCGCATCCCAGAACCCATCTTAGGCAAAATCACTGTCTCGGTGAGCAGCATCACTTCTCTGACTGTCAGTCCGTCTCTTTGTCTGACTGTCTGTCAGGCTGGCTCGCTGTCTGTCTGACAATATTTGGAGTGCACCTGCAGTGAGATTAACTTGTACACTGGCAAAGCCCATTTTCTCCCTCAATTTAGGGGAAATCTCTTGTCTTGAGCAAATATAAATATTTATGCCATTACATGTATATGTAAGATTCCTAATTCATGAGCACATGGATGGTGTTATTAAAGGGACAAGTACTTTTCAAAGATACGTCTGCCTAAAAGGAAGAATGTGAGCTTAGCTATTTCTAATTCAGCCAACCTGTGGACCAATTTGTGTTAAAGTGCAGTAATGGGCCATACAATAAGGTTTTATTCTTGCCTGGCAAGTTTCATGAGGTTGAAGTTCTACAGCGCAATGTATTTAGGCAATGCATCTCTTTCTGTGAAAGAGGCATGGCTATACGGAGGAAGTTGGAGGATTCTGGAAGTCATTGAAGGGTTCTCCTGACGAAAATGGCCTATTGAGTTTGAACCCCATGAAAACAGGTGTTGATGGAGGAACATTTTAATCGTCTGTCGGTATATTTTATCCTTACAGACAGTAACAGCACTGAATTATCTGAAGGAGGAGCTGACGATCATCCACAGAGGTGAGATGCATCTAAAGTTAGTGTGCTTGCAAGCAGGATGTGTGAGGTTTCGAACCCCACCCATGTACCCAGTTGAAATTTTTTTTAAGAGGCACTACTGTTCTACGAAGAGGGAAGAAACTGTCTTCCCATGCCATTGTGTACTGTCACTCTTGTGGTTGGCTGAATACTGGAAGATTTAAGATTGAATTTCAGAATTATGATAAAGTTTGCCTGTTGGGAGTTCAAACCATCATCGACCAAACAAATCCAATATGGCTCCATCTGACTGAATTTTTGGTACAGCAAAAGTGGAAAAAAAGCCCCACTGTACAACTGAAAAGTTTGCATGTGTATGTAGGTAAACATGGTTCTTTTGATGGCAGAAAAAAGTCAACTAAAGGAGAAACTTGGAAAAACAGATGTTTGTCTGTTTGTTTCTTAATACTCTGAATTTCCATTTACACTCAAAATGTTGTTTGTTTCTCCATATTGCATATTTCAGCCATAAGTTGTTCAGAAGAATAGATCTTCTGTCGGTCGTACATTTAAGGGAGAACTTTGAAAAAAAAATTAGGCAGTCGCACCAAACTTTCAACCATAACTCAAGACCAACCCAAAATCCTTTGGAACAAATTTGATGCTTTTCATTTTGCGATGCAGATGTGAAGCCGTCAAATATTTTGCTAGACACCAAAGGTAACATCAAGCTGTGTGATTTTGGCATCAGTGGACAGCTGGTGGATTCCATTGCCAAGACAAGAGACGCTGGATGCAAGCCCTACATGGCCGTAAGTGGAAAACCTTGAGGACGCATCTCAGAACTTCACATTTCTCCCACTGATTTCATTAAAATGTCTTTTTAGAAGAATCTTCTCAGAGCATTCATTCAAATTACACAGGTCCATGTCCTCAAAGCTCGCAAGTAGGAAAGCAAGTCTTGCCAGGGGGTTGAACAACTTATACCGTTTTTAGGTTTTTCAAAATTCAAATTTATTCTGACCCCAGAATATTTCTGCCCACTCTTTGAAATTTTAATTTACCTGATCAAGTTACTCGGATTTCACTTGGGGCTTTCCTATTTAGTAATATGTAGCTACACTACTGTATGTCAAAAGTTTACATCTCTTTTGTGCGTTTGTCTGCTTGCGTGTCTGTTTTTTTGAACATGTAAAAACTTTCCTTTTTTTTCACATTTCAGCCTGAAAGAATAGATCCCTATGTTTCCAAGGGAGGATATGATGTCAGGTCTGATGTCTGGAGTCTGGGCATCACATTAGTGAGTAATGTTTTGTTTCTATTTGATATTTGATACATACTGAAGAAAATAATGCTATACCAAACAGAGCACAGCCAATATCTTGAGTTTTGTTTTGCTTTAGAAACACTCATGAATGCCTTCCAATTAGTGTAATTCTGAGTTCCGTCCTTCACTGGGATGCTGACCTGGCTAGGCCAGAGGTCAAGTGGTCAGGATGCCTGCACTTGTAAGCTGGAGGTAGTGTTCTGAAGTCCTGGCTGAGCAAGCCGGAGATTCAGGCTTGAGGTTTTTTTTTGCAAGCACCGAATAAGCAGGTGTTGGTTGATTGTGTGTAAGACCCAATAGTAAAGATTTTTTGAAAAGCCTAGTTTGTTTAAAGCTGTAATTTTTCCTGACAGATTGAGATGGCCACGGGCAAGTTTCCCTACCCCAAGTGGAACAGTGTGTTTGACCAGCTGGCTCAAGTCGTCAAAGGACCCCCTCCTAGACTGGTCAGCACCCCAGATATGCAATTCTCTGCTGAATTCACAGACTTTGTCAGCAACTGGTAAGTTTTGTCAGTGCCAATCCTCAGATGTTGTTTTCATTTTTCTTTCTTGCATTTGACAGGCTTTACAGAATGACCGTTAAGTCGGTTTTACTAGGCTGGCTTCAAAGTTTGGTGTTGGATTCTAAAGTTGTCAGTTTTTATCCCAATTTGCTACTGTTGGATTCCGTAGGAATGGGCTGGCTTTACACAGTGCTATTAATGGTGTCTGCAGATTTTCACACATTAATTCAGTAGGATTTAGCAGACTCCACTACATGGCAGTTGTTGGTTTCCACTGGATTAAACCGATTCCTACACTTTGCCGTTGTGTGATGCCGTGGGGCACAGCAAACTTCACCCTTTGCTTTTATGGGAATCTGTGGGATTCAGCAGACTCCACAAATTGGATGTTGTTGGATAAAGCAGATTCCACACTTTGGTGTTGGATTCTATATGATCCGGCACACTTTACAGTTTGTAATTTCCATCAGATTCCAGCAGCCTTCATAGTTTGCCGTTGTTAAATTCTCTTGGATGGAGTAGGATTCATGCTTTAAAACCAACGGCTTACTGCCCAAGCTCGCCCCTTTAATGGTTGTTAGATTGAATTTGAATGTAGCTGGTTGCTCACTCAATTATGAAAATTGCTTTTGGAAAAATATGAAAGACAAAAAATGTAAATTTGTGTGAAGACACTTTCAGCCGTTCCCTATGCAAAGGGGTTAAAACTGAATTGAACTTCCAACTGATGGCAGTTGTGCTGCGGCTTCACCTTCAACAGCCCACCCCAGATGCTTTTCTAGACCTACAGCCTGACTTGGCAATAGTGGATTGAGTTTGAGTCTTTTGCCCCACTAAACTACCCTTGTGGACTTTTTTTTTCAGTTTAAAAAAGCTAGAGGAGGACAGACCAAAGTACAACAAACTGCTGGTGAGTGTTGAAATAACAGGATAATGGTTGATCATGAAATAAAAACATGTTTCAATGAAGAATAGGACGGTCTTAAAATGGGCGGAGGTTTCTCTACGGTTAAAAGTATTTTTTTTTTCTGCTGCATCGCACACTCCAGACAGAGTTATCTTAGTAAAATGATCATTTTTTTGGCTCACATGTCACACAGAAGTCAAATTCTCATGTGATACGGACACCCTATGAGTATAAGGAAAATGAAATGCCAGGTGGTTGGTAGTCTTCCACTGGAGGCCCTCCTAAACACTGGAATGGAGACTATCAAAGAGCTTACAGCTTGTATGCAAAACAGGAGCTTTTGGCAAGCCGGGCAACATACCATCCACGAAGGACTTAGTTGTAGTATAGAGGGATTGCACTTCATGCTTCTGCAACGGTTCCTTGCCATGTTGAAGAACTAATGCCGAGTACCAACTGCAATGGGTGTATTGATGAACAAGAACTTTTTTCTCGCAATTTGACCCACACTCGTTCTTCTTTTTTTTTAATCAGGAGCACCCATTTATCAAGAGGTATGACAGAGCAGAGGTTGATGTTGCTGGCTACGTGTCAAACATTGTGGCCCGAATGAGTGAATCAGGAAAGTTGCACAACGCCGATTATTAACTTGTCATATACACTAGGTACAGTGACTTTTTGTTTTATCTTGTTCATGCATCCGCCAAACGGATGGATGAGGCATTGTAGTTCCGTGTACATAAAGATTAAGGGCATCTGAAACATTTGCTGGAGTGGCGTTTCTTGGCCTGCATGGAGGACACGTTACCGAAAGCCAGTTCAGTGTTTTGATTGTGTTGGACAAGTGTAAGTTAATGGTGTCGATGTCAAACAGTATTGGAGAAGGCTTGAACACATTGCTGTGCATCGATGCTCGAGTGTGTTCAAGTTGATGCTGCTTGTTTGCTCACATTCAGATCTTTCAAAATCCAAGGGACAGATTGAAGGAATTTGGCTGGAGGGGTATGCCTATATGTCATTACATCAGATTTGGGTTTGATCCTCCTTAAAAAAGTGGTTCCTTCAAATGGGTAGATTGAGAAGGACTCAGGAAGGATCCAAACACAAAGCATTACTCAACCTATCAAAATGAGTCCGAGTCACCAGAGCCACTCCTTGAGTTAAAGTCATAAAAAAAAATAGACTTGCGCAAGAAACAGTCCTTATGTTTTTCCAGTTAACCTATGAAGTACCGTGCCATTTTTGCTGTTTTACCTACGTGCAGACTAAAGTGGCTGTCGACATTCATACACAAATGTAAATCACCAGGAACTGTGAACATTGTCTCCATCTTCATGAGGCTAAGAGAAACTCGGTGATAAAATCAGAGCTCTGTTTCCTCTTTCAAAGCAAACTAAAACAAAATCTTTGAAAGCTATGCCATTAAGAGTCATTTTGTGGGATCGAGTCATAAATGTCTAGAGTGTTAAGAATCATACAGCCTGCTCATAGATAAAAACTTGCAGTGTATACACAGTAGTCAGCATTTCCTAAAATGTTTCCTAATGTAGCCTTGGCAGAAAGTTTTCATTTGGTAACTACCACGTGTTCCATTCAAGTAACCCCATCTTGCTCAAGATTGTTACTTTAGGAGGAATGCTTGTGCCTTGCAGAGCTTCCCACCCACCACATTATGACAAGGCCTTATTGCTGCGCGAAGACAAAAACTCCCTAAAGGTCAAATATATACTGGAGCATTGTGAAAGGTAGATTTAGAAGAGCTGGCTTCGTATTACAACAAAAAGTGTTTTTGTTATGGATACCTTTGTTTTGGGTTAACGTCTGTGAATGAGCATGGACAAGCCAAACCTCTAAGAGTGTTTTAAAGTAAAAACTGAATACTACTTGATCATTTCTTGATGAACAAATGTATAAAGGCATCTTATCATGACCCATATATACCAGTGATGTAGTCGAGTACCAAAACTCAAGTACCGAGTTTTCTGAGTACACAAGTGCTGAGTACGGGCCGAGTCTGAGTACTGTTTAATTGAGTCCGTGGCCAAAAATCTGTGTCTGCATACAGGCTAAGTATGAGTACAAAGATAATCGAGTACATCCGAGTACATTGTAAAACTAAAACATTATCAGAAATTTACATTGTTGGTCAAAAAAATGTACACCAGTTGATAAAAATACTGCGTGACTTGTAACATGTAGCTTACACTATGTGAAATTCTCGGTCAAAGTTTAGTATTGAAAAATTCATAACGAAAAAATTCCCAATTTCTTTTTGAGTATTGCGAGTCTGGGATCGAATTAACTGAGTACAATTTGTCAAATTTAGGGACAAGTTTCCGTACAAAATTTCAAGTACGTGCCGAGTACTTGTTTTTTTGAGTACTTATGATCATGTATGGGCCAAGTACTTATTGGCACTCAGTTGTACTCGAGTTCGAGTACGAGTACTCCAACACTGATATACCCGTTAGTGCATTACCACATTTAGAGGATTTGTGCATAAAGTTAGGAAGTTAAGCTTTCGGTTTCATTGAAAAGGGAAATATTAGATCAATCTCCAAGGCAAAAAAATGTGTCAATTGTATGTGAAAGCAGTAAGCTTACTAAGTATGCTGTCGATAGACCTTGTATGGGATGTAATGATGTGGCATTTTTGAATGGGCATAAATTAAAGACTCTTGAAAGTTCCAAAGTTGATATTACAGTAACTTTATATATGTATGTGGGTAAGTTAAAAAAAGTGACCATTTTACTATTGGTATTTCCTGCAGTACCTTTCATGTATCCTCGAATGTAATGTGAATTGATAGCATGCGAAGACGACCTCAATGTTAAAGCCAGCTATTTGCAGTTTGTTTTTTTTGAGAGAGAGCACCAATTTTAAAGTCTGAGCAGTTGAACATGTAGAGCATTTAAACTGACAATGTCCTGAACTGAAATGAACACGGTCTCTTAATCTTGCTCTGATGAAGAGTCTGATCGTGACCAGCGTGTCGTCTGAATGACCTTATGACCCTTGATCTGCAATCAACATAACTCTCTCACTTTTATGCCTTGAAATTCCCTCAGAAAGATCCGCTCACTTCTGCCAAATGCTGAAGAGGGAGGAAAGACTTATTAAAAATCCAAACATGCAACTGCACTTTGCATGAATACATCCTCAATAGCTAGGCCAGTTGGGGTTGGGTACAGTTGCAATATGCATACATTTAGGAACCAATAAAATACTGGGGGGGTTGGACGGCATTGCTTAATACCATAATACATGGTACCTGCATGGTATAATATATGGGTAAGTCCTTTCTTTGCTAAGCCGAATTCTGTGCATAGCTTACTGCTGGCGGGAACAAATTGATGCTAACTATAGCAGAGCAGTTAGCACATTTCACAGGTGAGCAAGAAGACCTGGACTGCGCATGTTGGAAATCCCATAACTAAGGATTGCATGCTCACTTGGTTGGCACCAGAATTTCTGGGCTATCACTGCAAGCATAGAATGCATAGTATCATAAACGCAAACTTCCGGGTACTTAGTACTGTCCTCCCTCAGACCTCTGACCTTTATTGAGTCCCTGAAAGAGTTAATTACATCAGTGCACTTCATTTGACCATTCTGAATAGAATTGCAGATCGCTAGTTTAACTCCCAGACAAACTAGAGTGCCCAAGTTATCGCTATCTGAATAACTATGTGTTATTTACACAGAATGAATGTTGCAAAGTGTAACTACAGGTATGTGTTTAATCAATGCAACTGCAAGTCGCTTGCATGCGGCGGCAGCAGTCGCACCAAAGAAACAAGCATGAAGATGGCAATCATGATAACGAATCGATTGTTGCTGGTTTTAAAAAGGATATCATTAGCTCCACCATTGGAATGACTACGTGTACATGTAGATTCTTGTCTGTTTAGCTTTCAGAAGTAGAATATTTGTAAAAGTCCAGTTTCATAAGTTCAACTTGCCATCGTAGAGTTTCCCGTGCAAGTCAACAGTTTGTACATTTGAAACTGGCTGCACCAATAATTGGCTGAAATATCTAACCACCGTGATTGAATGCTCTCTGAATATTCTCTCTGTGCCCCAGAAGTAACAATCACAAGCAACATGAGCCTTTTCATTCGGGCTTCCTGTATTCTCTTAACATATTGTTCTCCTAGTTTCCTTATATGCACACAGACCGTTATATCCTATCCAATAGTGAGAACTACTGTCCAACAAATAATATGGTGCCCTGATTTATTTGTATATTGCCTGGCAAGTACATGTATATTTGATGAGCAGCATGCGCTATTTCCCTATCATGTGGTACATGTATCTTTACCCTAACACCCTAGGCTCCTGCACTACATGTAGAAAGCATACTGAACCGCATGTACTTGTCAGTGTGTTTGTACATGTATGCAGGTCACTGTACCAAACCTGATCAATGCCAATAGAATGAGCCCATTGGAGGTTTGAGTGATATGGTATGGATGGGTCTGTGCTAGCCCCACACCTAGGCCTGTAGTGGCTCTCTTTTACAATCTGTCTCTTTTCTGTTGTGGGGCAAGATCTATGCAGTATAGGATGACTTGCACTGAGCAGTGCCAAACCTGACAAAATCAAGCATAGTCCAATACCTGCACCAGGTACAGAAAGCCAGACACTACACACAATGAAACCTGCGTCTCCCAACTCGCGCAGAACCCAACACCATTTCCCTGGGCCTTTCAGCCCAAGTCTCACAAGCTTCAACAAGAAGCTCAACAGGTGTGGTACCAGATCTGGCAAAACCTCACACAACCTGCTGTTGGAGTATGGCGCCTTTGGGGTAGTTAGGGTTAAAGACTGCTGTACATGTAAATGTACATTGCCCGACTTGGAGTACCATTTATGTTTCTTACATTTGTAGGGTGTCATTGACAGCATTTAAAAGTTTTGCATTTTGGAAACTGAAAAAATATGAGATATGCAAGATAATTTGCACTGTCAGAGTTTGTATGAAATCAGGCTCAAGAAAATCACAGGTCTAGCCATAAGTAACAGTAGACTAACACCAACGTAAGGCAAAATAACCCCTGGTTTCTGGTCAGACCAAAGTTCCAGGATTGATGCGGCGATGCAGAGTTCTTTTTTGGGGGGGGGGGTGGCTTTTTAAGACGAGCAGCGAGTGGCATATTTAATCAAAGAGCAAAGGCTAGTTAGTAGTAGCACATTGCACGTCATGCCGCCATTGTTGATGATCAGCTGGCTGCAACTTTGTAACCTACCCATGGTCTGCTGTTTGTGTTTGACATCAACATTACGCAGTCTTAACGGATCTATCACTGGGTACGAGCTACCTATGAATTAGTCTGGTTCTGTAAACAAATTGCCCTTCGGACTTGTGGCTGGGAATCAGTCTACTCATGAACATTCAGGTGGTGTGGAAATAGACAGTGCCATTTGAAAATTTAAGGAAAAAAATGGAAAAAACATTGAAGCATCAAGCCAATGTTCAAAATCGATGCGCGTGCTGACCAGAGACTGACTATTTTTTTGGCCTTTAGAAACATGAGCATAATTTATGACTGAAGTAAATAACAGACAACTTCTTGTTAATTTTTGGAATGATTCACAATGACCTATTTGTCATGCTGCGTGTTGTTAAATTTGGTGTAATTTTGCCAATCTTTAGTATTGTTTATGATTTGTTTCCACCTGTGATGGTGAAATTGCTTCATTGTAATAATGTGGATAATTTGCAAGATTGAATGTTTGCAGTTACAAATATGCAAGAACAATTTGCAATGGGAATGTATGTATACATCTGCTTAAGATATTGTTAAAAAGCTGTTTACAGAGAAAGTAATATGTCATTCTATAAGGCTGCAAAGCCCACATATTTGCTTAGCAGATGAGCTTTTTTTTTTGCTTAACACAATGGTAACCAGCAGTGTCAGGCTGGCAGTGGCATGTGAGCTGTGGCCGGTTCTCAGCTTATACCTTTGTAAGTTCTGCTTAATGTTTTTAGGGGATCACCAATTGTGAAATTGCGCCCCAGTGCTGTGTGTCAAGGCTTCCAACTCATTGTAGTAAAAGTCATAATTATTTACAAATTAACCAGGTATTTAACAGGTTTAATTTAACTTAATGATTCTAGTCACCCACTCACATATATATATTGGCAGTCAAATTGTTAGCGATGTGGTCGACAGACTCAAGTAAACCACCTTGTCATCTGTCATCTACATGTATGTGTGCATTGGTTTTACCTGACTTACCAGTTAATCTCTACTATTAGGTGATGGCCAGATTATAAAAACCAATGCTTAGTTACTGGTTTTAACTGGTTTGTGCATACCAGTCATTTTAATCACGTGGTGCGTATGAATTGGACTGAACCATTTGAAAAACAGTGTCATTTTAAGATTCCTTTGTATTTGTTTTCAAAGCAGTGTATAAAATGTTTGTCTGAAGTATGAAGTTCTTATCCCTGTATCTTTCATAATTAAGGTGTAAAGTAAGTGTCGTAAGATTTGTCAGGTTATAGTTGTAAAATGCTCTGGAGAACTGTAGAAATATCCCTGAGTATGTGTAGGCAGTGCATATCCAAAACGAAATCAAGTCTTTGGCTTCAGTCTGATCAACTGAGTTCAGTGTACGTCAGCCAGCCGTAAATTAGCCTGAGAAAGCACTTGGCAGAGCAGAAAACAGGTTACCCACAGACTTTTTAGCATGGCCTTTCATTTGCCTGGCGGTATTTTCTTTTTTAGGCTTAGCTTTCTGAAACTGGATTCTTATGATGGTCCCATGTGTAACCTGTTCCTAGGCACCTGTGACAAAGTTGGGGAAAAGTTCCAGATATTTCAATGATTTCTTTTTTGGACAATGCATTTTGTAAAGAGTACCGGCACTCACATAACGGTTACTTTTGTGAACACTCTACATTAAGAAACTTTTCAACGGTAAGAAAAAAACAGCAAATCTACAGTTTGCAAAATGGTCCCACAACCTGTTGAACAATGTTAATACTTGCTACTTAGCGTTTCATTGGAACTGGTCACACATGCTAACCGGATGATCTAAGTTAACCCTACACTTACCTATGCTGTAATCCATTGTTTATATCAAGCCGTGTGTGAATTTGCCATTTTACGGCTGTGGCTAAGTGGTTTACGTTGGCCCGCCACTTTAAATATTTCCACTGTCCAAAACAAAATGCTTGTTTCCAGGGAAGTGCAATACGGTTGCTAGTGGGGTAGGTTGGACCTTACCTGAATATCTTTCATAGCCCAAACTTTCAACAACCAAGAAAGGACAGACCTACATCTCTAGGTCAGGCAACGCCAACATGAAAAACCATTTGTTGCAAACTTTGGTTAAATCTACCTAACTTGCACCCTGCGTAGCACTTCTTGTATCACCAGCAGGGCTTGTATGACTTACCTGCCAGTGTAGCTGCTAATCTTGTTGTTGGTAGTGTTGTTGCTTTAGTCTGTTTTTTTAATGATGTCCGTTGTATGAAGAAAAAAATTAATAATGGCTGGCTTACAGTGATAACGATGAGTACGCTTGGAATATTCTTAACCAAATATGCTGAGGATTATTCTAAAAGAATCATGGAATGGAATATATTAAAGAATTATATTGAAAGTGAACATGAGAAAGAAATGACTCCAATGTTCTGTGCGATATGTATGTGATTTCATGCCCATTTTGAGTGTTGGCAGTCCATGAAATGTATGCTTCCAGAATATGCATTTAGGCAACACTAAAAGCACAGCAAGATTTTTTTATGTCTTTACACTTGCAGTGTGCAAGCTAGTATGCCCAAGTACATCACTTGTTTTGCAGGTCTGTAATTATGAAAAAGATTTGCTTCCCCCCCTTTAGAGGAGATGGGTGTCATGGAGTGGACCTCACAGCCATTTGTCTCCATGCTGCTGTGTACACCCAGCATAGAAAGGAAATCAGCCTGAGCAAACTGTAAGAAATGTCTACAGTTACCAAAAGTATAACTGACGGGTCTGTCATTGCAATGGAGAGGCAATGGGCATAGCCCCCCCCCAAAACACCCTGCTCGCTTACTTGGGTTTCACCTGCATTTTCATCCCCCCCTTTCATAAATGCTAGATCCATCACGTTGGATTGCATGCCCAGTTGGTCCCCTGTATAGTGGGGGCATCTGATGTATGTAAAGGAGGATCCCCCCAGGGTTGTACCAAATAAGTGAATAATTGATTGATTATTTGAGTATTATTTTTTCAAATTTGAATATTCAAATACAAAATTCATAAAAAGGCCGGGGAAAATTTTCTTGTTTTGAATGAGAAAAATTGCACTATAACCGTGACGGAGGCTTGTTTCAAGCAGATTCAAATGAAAAGTGACAGAAATCTTACGATTCAAATCGTAAATTATTCATTAAACAATTGAAAAGGAATAGAAATTTTCAAAAGGACGAGAACTATTGTTTATCTCTTAAAACTTGCTAAATTGTGGCTGGAGATACTCCTAGATGTGAGAAGCTATTATATTGATTATAACGTACAATCGTGTATGTTATTGCAACTGATTTTGTATATGGTTTGCTCAATTATCTCCCGGTCGGTACGACTGAATATTCAGATATCCTTCAAATTGAAGGCTGAATATTCAGATGTGAATTATTCAAATTGACTCAGCCCTACTCCCCCTTTCCTTGTAGTGGTACATGTAGATCCAGTGCGGACCCATCCGGTGGCATTTCATCCCCCTCCCCGAATTTTTTCAAGGGTACAATGTTTCCTTTTCGCCTTGGTTACTCTTCTGTTATCAATTGATTGTTTAATAGGTTTTGAGGCAGAAACTGTCAATAAAAAATACGACACTTTTATTTTCAGGTTCATCTCCATTTTTTAAAATTTTTTTTAATTTTTTTTTTATTGCCGCCCGCCGCGCGCTTCTTGGTTACGGTGGCTGGACCCGTCAGTGGCCTAGTAAGTCCGCGTCGGAAGGTTACGGCTGTAGCTTGAAATTGTACGTATTAATGGTATACAGAAGCCACTAGCTGAAGGCCCCCGACAAGCACTTTGTGTACACATTGGAATAGTCATGGCTATCGGATTAGAAGCCGTAGCGTGCCGCCCTCTTGCGTCGAATGAAATGAAGGCTGAGACACTACCTAGACGTATACTTCGTGAGAAAAAGCAAATTGAAGACGAGCACCAGTCGATTCACATTTTTTCTGCCTTGACAACATGAAAACAACGCGTACGGTGCTGTAGATCGTCAAATTGAAACCATAATGCCAGGTAATTCCGTGTTAGATTTATATTTTTTTCAAAACAAAAACTGTATACTAGTGATGAGGTGTGTGATGTTTATAGAGTCCAAGCTTTGATGTGTGGAATGGGAGAATGTGTGTGTGGTGCCGGTGATACGGCATAGCAGGGGGCCGGCTAGACTACTTCCCAAACATGCCGAACAGTAAGGTACATGTAAGTTACTCCGTAGACTTTACTGGGGCGATCTTTTTAATGGTTCTGCACGCTATGGCATATTGAAAGCTGCCCAGTCCGCCTACCAGATAATACATCTGTTTGCACTTGCTTAAGCAAATCTTCCCCTAAAGACCATATTAATAATAGCTAACATATGGAACTACCATTAATTTATTGCTTGTATTTTGTAGCATTTAACCTAGGTCTATATTGTTGGCAAAAAATGTGGTTCTTTCCACCATCCTTACCTCTCATCCCTCGATGATCCGCACACATCTGCATTCTCTGTGGCCACACGTCACGTGACAAAAACAGGCGCAGCGTATTCGCTTAGGCTTAACTAATGTTCATGTTTCTGTGGATACCAGTCCCCATAATTCCAACTACTCTGACAAAGATCTGAAGATTATGTATAGATATGTCTGGGAAATCTGTGGTCAGGGAACCACACTAATTACATATCGGCTCGAGACCATTTGGAGGGGTGGGGATGGCAGGGCGCGTGATGCACGCTGCATCGTCAAGCCAGCTGTTTACACATGTTAAAATGTTTGAGAAATACATGTATGTACTTCAGGGAGTGATGATATTTTGTGGAGATATGGTTGTGAAGTTGTAAGACTAATAAAGTTTCTGTTTTCCCATGCAATTCAGGGATTTATTTATTGCAAAATGTTAGAAAGGTGAACAATTATTCAAATCAGTGCATTTGTTTTCATGTTTCTTTGTTGTCGACACCTGCCTGCGGCTCAGGCATTAGTCGTGTAAAGTCTCCTGAGGTGGTTTTAAACGCACGATTTAAGACCAGCCGAGCAGACATTTATTCCCTTATTAAATTGCTAGACAGTTCACTCCCTTTTGTGATCTATGCCTCTGGAGTATTTTCTTTGAAGGAAAACAGTCCAAAATTACAGCCGGTCAAAATTCCACCTCGTGAATACAAACTCACTCCAACACATGTAAGCATGGATCCAGGTGAAAAAGATGTATCGCGGTGAAATTCTTTAAGTACAGTGTACCCCAAAACACCCACTGCACGTGTTCAGTTACATTGCCGGTAGAACAGCAAAAGCATATACACTGTATCTAGACCGGTTCATGCACAGACAAATACATATACAGTGTATCCACTGTCTAAAATAATAGTAAGGATTTTCTGTGGGGACCAGTGGTAGCCAGAGGTTTGTGGTAGCATCATGCAAGGATATCTCTTTTATGAGTATGTGTGTTAACCTCTTTGAATAAATTATAAATTTTGCCAAAAAAAATGACCACGGGTTATTGCAAAATCTGGTCGAAGAGACCATACCAAAACGCTATTCCAGAAACTGAACACGCTATTAATATTCAACTTACACAAATATCATCTGGGTATCCTAACGTTTTGATTTGAAAACAATCTTCTGCCCCCCTGAAATCAAATCATTGTTCATATAATACAAGGTCAACAGCCGAGTTTCACATTGCAAATAAGAACTACAATATTTCTTTAAAAAGTTCGACATCAAGGCCCTTTGCTCGGGAATAAAATCACCCCAGTACCATACTTCAGAAGTATAGATGGTTTGAAGAAGTTCTTGAAGAATATCCTCCTTTCCATGTAACTTCTCAGTATTGTACCTGTATTTAGTGTACATACATGTATGTATATTGCATTTCTATTGTGCATTCATATCTTTAATAATGAAGCAGTCATATTTAGATTTGTGCTCACTTCCTAAGATATTATGACAATCAAAATCTTTGTTTAATTCTGACGTTCAGCTGCACCCTCAGTTATTTTACTTTCTTTACGCTCTCTCTGTCCTCTATCTTGTAATTATAGCTGTATACGGATATTATTGTGACATACACATGTACAAGGAACCAAGCCACAAATAAGCATTTTCTTTCAGTCTGGTATCCGCCATTCATCATCTCTTATTTCATTCTGTAATAACACTGTTTCTTTTTGTTCTAATTGTATGGAATGTATGGAAATAAACCGACTAAACTAAACGTCTCCTGACGACGGACAGAGCATACTGTCCGAAACCTTGAGTATCCTCGGGATCTTTTCTGAACCACACATCCTCACAAAAGAGATATATGCATGGTGCTACTGCAAACCTAACTTACTTCCTTCTCCATGAAAAGCTTCAAAGCTCATCTGGTAGTAACTTACGTCCTTTAGTAGCTTTTGTGCTGGAGCTGGGCTCCATCTCCCTCATAAGAACCCTGTACACAGACATTTGGTACTTTAAACTTTTTTGTTTATTCTTTCAACTCCGTTTCAACCATGGCATAGAGTACCGAAGTGACTACGTCACGCGCATAATTGTGTGTGTAGAAGGCATTACAGTGAGAATCAGCGCGCGAACCAACACGCGCGCTATTTGTTTGCACTACACTTTCTGCTTCACAGTGACGTCACACTTCGGTACTCTATAGCCCTTTTTATTTTTACATATTAAAGCAGCATAATCTGCCCATGATGCTCTCTTTTTAAAAAATTATGCAGGTCAGAGGTTAATGAACATACATGATGCAGTACGCAGTGGGGATGTCTTGGAGCTGGAGGCCATGGTGAAACGGGGTGCCAGCATCAATGAAGTGGACGCCAAGAATAAATTCACCGCCTTGCATTGGGCATGTCATTGCGGTGCATTGGAGGTCTGTTTTGTGCACGTGGACCAGCTGAGGCAGTGAACACAAATGATCATTGTAGCTAGAAATATTAACGGTCTTTAACATTTGCAAGGCCTGTTATTTCATAAATTCTTTGATACTTTCCCCTCAGAAAGTGATTCTCAGTAAAACCATGTTTACCCATGTTTACGGTTGGATTGAATTGTATTGTCCAAAAATGCCATCATTTTGCCTGTGTGGCCTTTGCTGCAGGCCTCTTGGTTTCTCCTTCACAAACAAGTTTTGGAAGCAGACTTTACAGATTTGTTGGGCATTTCTCCTGTCCCTTCATTCCAAGGTTTGAGTGACCTCATAGCGTCATGCTCTTTGTGGCTCTGTTTGCAATTGCATGAATAGGACTGATGAAGCGAGATGCATTAATTGTAGGGATTTAGGGAAGGGCTTTTCTGAGTAGGAGACTGCAAGTTGGGAAAATTAACTTAAAACCAAATGAAAGAGTTTCAGCTAGGTATTGAAGGCTGGAAGGATCATACATGTACCTCACACAAATGTGAATACGTCATTAAAAAAACAATAAAACATTACATAGTTTATTCGCCACTCATATAAAATAATATACATGGTGGAAATTAAGTGGTCCTTGCTCTGCTAAAAAAAACAACAACAGTACAACATTAAATATTTATTAATTGTATTCAATCATGAAATGTGACGGCAACGTGCAACTTTTGCATATTTGCAACAGAATCACTTCTTATGACATCAGTGTCAGCTTGATTTCATTTCTGGTGATTTTCAATCAAATCAAAATTTAAACCCAAGTCTTTACCCTGCCAGAGGCGGCAAGGCTCTCCACTTTTGAAAGGCTAGGGGACCCGATTTATTAAAGTGGGCAGTCAACAGCAGCAGTGAAAACTGCAGAATCCAAGACAATGGGAACTAGTTCCACTGGACGGTGTCCTTGTTGGATCCTTCAGTAGTTGTTTGGCTGGGAGCCTGAGACCATTTGGGCCTTGGGGATCATACTATTTGGTGTAGATATTGTACGTGCGGTAACCCTCTTAGCTGTTTGTATTAGGCACGAGCCCCCTGAACCCTGCTTATGCAAACTGCTTGTGATCTTTATTGTTTCTGTCTGGTTCCTCGTAGTGTCTTCATTGGTTGTTGTGGCACGGTGCCGACGTCAACGTCAAGACACCGCAGGGATGGACCCCTGTGCATATCGCTGCAATCCGAGGCCAGGATCAGTGCATTCAGGTGGGTAGGTGCATAGCGTCGCAATCTTTATTAAAAGTTCCATCCACCACTAACCAAGGCACTCTTGAAGTACTTGTCAGAGACCAACAACCAATTCCACAAAACTCTCCAAAGCTGCTCGACTTCACTGCTGTTTTTGTCATCTGATGTGCGCAATAAAGCTGTGACCAGGTAGTTCCTCAGTCAGTGGTTTTTGAGTGGCATAAGAAGTGGTACAAATGGACAGTTTTTACTAAAACACATGAGATTTTCATAAGAGCCAATATCTTTCAAAAGTTGAAGTGAGCAACATGCAACTTATAAATTTAATAAAATGAAAAAATTTATTATTATTATTATTATTATTATTAACTTTGTGAAGTAATAATCTGCCAGTGTACGTCTAAGAATATTTCAGAAATGTGTGCCCCATGCCAAGAAAAGATGAAAATGTTTTCAAATTAATGGACAGGTAATTCCGTGATCAGTTTGCAACAGTCACGGTGAAATCCTTCATAGTGGCTTAGTCATAGTCTCAGTCAAAGGTGCTAAAGCAATATAAAATGATGGGCGGAAAGTTTGATGAAGTAGATTGCAAGTATGTTTTGCAGCTGGCTGAGTTGTGCAAGAAATCAGTTGAATTTGGGAACAATCTTTAATATACTGGTGTCATTTACACTCCGTTCTTTGAAATTGGCTAAAAGCTCATGCAGGACAGTGGTGTATGCTGTTTTTAGGATTTTTTGTAGCCAGCGGATTCTTGGCAACTTTGTTCTGTGCTGTAACTATTGAAATACTGATTAATTGGCTCAGGAAGGTCACTTGGAGTTGAAGGCTTTTGTAAATTACTATTTCAATCAAAAACTTCTCATTGATGCATACCAAAAAAGCATTTTATTAATCTTGGTTGGTAACTGGTGTACAGGCGCTGGGCACCAGTGGAGCTAGCATGAACTGTCGTGACCAGCGCGGTAATACCCCTGCTCACTTGGCCGCTGCCCATGGCAATTCCTACACTCTCAGCTCTATACTCCGAGCAGGAACGGTACGTACATGTACTCATTTGGGTGTCCTTATAGAAATGAGGCAAAATCTTACTAACAGTCATTCTTGTCTTTGGAAGTGAAATGATCGCAGAATGTGGTGTTACTTGTTATCATTTGTTAATCCAGAACACTTCCTCCAGAAACATGAAACATTCTATCGGCTGTAACTTACTGAGATACTTGAATCTTGATTACTGTGCATCAATTCAGCCTCACTAATTCAGACCTGTGTACCTTCTAATGTCTGGATTTTCCATTTTCCTCCGTAACTTCATCAGCGTTTGTCAAAATAATTCACTTCAGATGTTCACTACAGTACGTACTGAGGCTGTCTCGCTAAAAGCCCGATTGTTGTTTTCCTGCAGGACATTGAAGCTAAGAATATGACTGGCTGGACACCCGTCCACGTTGCGTCATACCACGGCAGACTTGGTTGTCTGCAGCTATTGGTCAAGTGGGGTGCCAGGACTGATGACACGGACAGCACTGGCAACATACCTGGTGAGGATACACAGAATTGGCAGTTGGGCACTTGCGATTTTTACAGATTATAATTACCGTCCTGTGAAACGTCATTCAGCACTCAAAGCTCTTGATCTCTTCTTCAGCACATTTGATCACTTCTCTTGCACTTATAAATCCCAATTTTTGGTGACAGGTGTAAATGGTCACACACAGTTTATGAGAATAAACAAGCATTCTCAAAATATTCGGGTTGGTAATACCTAGATCAGGCCTGAGTATCCGTGAGGTTTAACTCATGCAAATGTAGGCTAGATCATTACGAATATCGGAATATTGGAATAATCAGCCTTTCAGAGACACTAAATCCCTACCAATGTAGAAACACCGTGTGTGTTTATCTTTATCCGCCTTCAGTTTCTGGACAGGATCTGTGCCCTGGTTAAAGGAGAAGGCTGGTAGTCCGCCCTTTGCGTAATAAAAAAGCTTATAAAAATGAAAGAAAACCAGTAGAACAAGTGAAATTTGTTTTACTGTGTGGTTTAGTACATACTGTAGCTGTCATCATGAATTTACTCATAACATCTCAAACTGATGAAAGTGCAGAATACATGTATGTGTGACGTTGGATACACATGTCAACTGTGTCACCATTTTCTGTAGTTCTTTCACAAGGCCACTTATTCCCATTGCATACTTTTGACATCAAATATAGATTGCAGACAGTATTTGGTTGATACCCGGTGTCTGCCCATTTCTGTCAGTTTTCATTTCTGAAATTTGTTTGTTTGCATTCACATGACTGTGTGCATGTAGAACCTATGTCATGAAGTGATCCTCGAGTTCTGAAAGACCACTTGCTTTGGCTAAAAACGTTTCTTCAAACCTCTGTGTTTGTTTTTCGGGTTTTTCATATCCCCAGCCCACCTGGCAGCCTGCGAGGGTCATCTTCCTTGTCTCAAATTTCTGGTCAGTCATGGTGCCAGTTTGTCTGACACCCTAGGAGCGAGGAACGATAACGGAGAGACGCCCAAGACGCTGGCCTCACAGTTCTATAAACAGAGCTGCGTGGATTATATCAATGCTGTTGGTATGAAACAGATCAGGTCTCTACCACAGTGGGTGATCAAAATCAAGAAAGATTCATTTTCTCTGGAATTTAAAGTATTGTTGAATCTAACTCTCTAGTCCTGTGCTTTGGAAGAAGCCAACGGGACCTTCTGTGTATTCTAATTTCAAGGGCCATCAAATCCCTTGTAATTAATTTATAACTGCACTCTACTGTCCTCAATGCTGCAAACTTATTCTTTATGTTGGTGTTTCAACATTCAGTGTTGTGGTCTCATAGTGATTTTCTGCTGCCTCAGGAAGTTCATGTTTTCAGTGTTATTAGCTAGTTGACGACTTCTGTTTTTTTTCTTTCTTTTTGGTAGAGTGGGAGCGTGACCATCCTGAAGATGAGGAAAGTAAGGTCAATATTATTTCAGACCCACCATTCCCAAACTAGGCTGAAGATGAACAAGATATTACCTTGAAAATGGTACCAAGACACGCACGAGCAATGCACATTCCTGGTCCATTGCCGATGACTACCAAAGCTTTCTGCATTCAAAATTGTTACTTTGGATCATTTTGAAGTGTGATAACTAACAACAGGAGGAGACAGACTTGTTGAACATCAAAATTGCCTGCTTCAGGTCCTTGTTGGGGAATAGTTGGTCACATTTTAGCTCGCTGGCTCAGTGATCTGACACATTGTTGAGGTCTTGTGCATTTTAATGCTCCTAAATGGGGGCTGCATTTTGGCCAGTCAGATTACAAGAAAAATGAGATGTGTAGGTTAGATATCAGGCCAAACAAGTAAAGAAATATCAGGATTAGAGTGTGGAAAAATTTTTCTATGATGATGGAATAATTTGTGTTTAACCACCATAACAGTTTTGGACTGAAAGAAAACCCACATAGTGATTTTAATGTCAAGTTTATCTCAACAATCCTTTTACAACTGTCGAGATTTAAATATTCCAATCCTGTTTGATGTAGACCTGGCCTTCCCTGCACACATTGCTGCCTACAGTGGTGATCTGAGCCACTTGAAGATGCTGATTGAGCAAGGAGTCGTCAACATCAACGAACGAGATGAGAAAGGCTCGACTCCGGCCCACAAAGGTAAGGATCACTGCAGACGTTCCTGTTGGAAATGGCAATTTTCTGTGGGTCACAGGTTCACATCCAGCAATGTTCAGTTTCATTGTCCAATCAAATCAAGGTGAGTAGTGGTTCTAGTCACTTTCCTATTGTGACTCACTCATTGAGTGCTGTGGTCCATTTGCTGAGGTGGCAGCCTTCTATGCGTTGGTATGTGGGTTCGAACCCTTACGGGGACCAAAGCAGTTTGTGTTAAATGCTTTTCACTTTAATTGCCTCTTTCCATCTAGAGGAATGCATGGGTTCCTTTGAGGTTAGCAAACAGGCTGTGCCAATCTTGAGCCGCTGCAGTAAACTGATCTCACAGCCCAGTGAACAGGGGTAGTAATTGAAGAAGCACTCAGAGGCATGTATTTAAAAGTTCTACATATAAAGAACTCCATTGTTATGTGAAAAAATAGCACAGTTGGCTTGCTGTGCTTGGCTATGAGGAACAAAATCTTGAATGCGTTGAGGAGACTTGCTATCACCACCAACACTTGCTCTGATCTGATCCTGTGTTTATTTCAGCTGCCGGAAATGGCCATCTGGAATGTCTGCAGTGGCTGGTCGAGATGGGAGCCAACAGTAAGTCCGTTTGAGCTGTGATAACTGTAGGATAAAAACTTGTGTCTGAGGTATGCATTACATTTCTCTCCCAAGTATCTTAGTAAGCATTCCTGGTCTGAGTCATCAAAGTCGTCCATAAAGATCCCAATAGCATAGCCAAAGAATCCTCCCTGTGCAAGGATACCATCCATGGCCAAAAAACTTATGAGAGGGTGTGTTTCGAAGACATTTTAGCTGTCGTACTGCAATCCACACTATAAAAAGTTAACATGTTTTTCGACCTGCATGGCAATTCATGTAGCAAAACAATTAATGTTGGAAACATATTTTGATTTAGCTCAGTTTTTAGAAATGCACTCCAAGATTTAATACGCCTATATTTCTGACTGAATCTTTTTTGGGTTAAATGTTCTTGCAGTTCACATCCAGAATTCAGCCGGGGAGACACCTTTGGAAGTTGCCACTCGTTTTGCTCAGCTGGCTTGTGTCAAACTACTCAAAGGTGACGAGTCAGGTGAGACACCCAACAAGTCCACATCTTGCAAAACACCAGTACACTAGCAGCAATGAAATGACACCTGAATTTTCCTGTTAAGGGTTGATACTTCGAACTGTATTTCAGGGGAATTGGACTGATTGAAATAACTTTTTCATTGTTTTTGAACCAAGATCCATTGTTCATAATCAATTTGATACGTAGGAAATGTTCTGTATCCTAAACTGATCTTTAAGGATCCAGGAAATAAATTTTTCTTAGAATCACTTTTTGTGTATCTCTGTACTCTTCTTCCATCTATGAAGTCTGTTTGACATCTTTTTTGAGTTACGTGAACTGAACGGTGCACTTTTTCATACATTAAAAATTGACCAAGCATTTCTGGACAAGTGAGGGCGCTTTTGCTTTGATGTAAATCCAGGAAGACATGGTTCAGGTTGCGTGTTTTCATGTTCACATTTCAAATTGTGAACCCCAAATTTGCTATCTGGGAACATTTCTGTGAAAAGGATTTTTGCTGGATTATTGCCATATACTTACACAGCAATAAATTGCCAAAGAAAATGAAATCTGCCATAGCAGTGGTTAAAAAAAATCTAGAAATTTTCTGTGCACAAATCAGTGCAACATTGAGATTCAGTGCCTTGGATGACATTATAGTTCTGCTCATGAATATGCAAAGTGCATTAGCATAAAAACCCCCAAAGCATCAAAATATGGGTTAAAATTGCAAAACAAAATTTAAAATCAAATCAATTGAAACCCAAAGATGCAATTCCAAGACTTTTTAGTAAAATTTGTAAAAATATTTCTATTTCGTGGTTCCTTTAAGGAAATCTAGTTTGAAAAAAATACTTTTTAACAAATTACATCAGGCAGATGTGTGACTCAACTCGATGGAGTGAGTTTGAAGACACCAGAGCCACTTTGAGTTCAAATCTGTTTAAGGATCGTGCACAGTGTAACTCAGTAGGAACCTTCAACCTTTTTCAGCTACATAATGTAATGTAAAGTTTTCATCAGCATACCAAACTGAGTGGCATGTCAAAACAAAACTCAGGTTGCTCTTTTTAATGCAAACTATTAAAGATGGCCTGACGACTCAATATGTGGGGTCTGGTCACATCTAACAAAATCAAGTTGTTTTTTCACCATTACCCCTCACAAATTCACTTTACCGTGTTTCAGTGTTCGGTTGTGTTAGAGCTGGCAGTTTGTATGTTTGGCATCCGTTTGTCTGTCTGTAGATTCGGATGAGGGGCCGGCGGATTATGCCGTTGCTGATGAGGACAATGAAGACAAGATTGCCCGCCTGTCTGCTGATCATGGAACTGGGGAAGGCGAGTCCATCCCGCTAACTGGGAAACAGAAAGAGGAAGCTAGAGGTGAGGAGAGTGTGGTTAGGAGGCAGGGATCTGGAAGGGTTTTAGGAGTTCAGAGAGTGTCAAAAGGATTCCTTGACTATCTACTGATTGTGAGACAGAATGAAAACTCCATCCCACTGACTGGGAAAAAGGAAGAAGCTGGAGTCAAGAAGATAGGCTGGTTTGGAGGGACAGCGATGGTTTAGAAAGGTATTTAGAAGAGGCTGAAGAGTTACATGTAAGCAAGAGTCAAGAAGATTGTTGGACTGTCTACTTGTTGTGTGAAATCCTTTCTGTTGCCTGGGAAACCGAGGAAGCTAGAAGTGAGATGATAAGTTGGTTTACAGGAGAATAAGAAGGGCTCAGGAAGGTACTGAAGAGTTAAGGGATATAGAGAAGATCGTGCTACTGGCTGCTTGCTCTGGCGAGAGGAAAGACAGTCCATTCCAATAACTGGCTATCAGCTGGGGTTAGAGCAGATGTAGGGGAAATGGAATTAGGAAAGGATTAAGGAGGTCGGTCATTATGCGATAAATATGACTGTTTGCATTCAGTATTAAATAGGATCATCAGCAGTGTCAAAGCATTGTAAGGAATGACTCTGTCAAAACGAGACTGGGTGACTTGTCATTGACCTGTGATGATTTCAAAAGGAGTGTTATGAAGAAGCTGGTGAGATTTGATTTGTGAATAAAATGAAACAAAAGATTGTGTTTTGTTTACTTGTGTGGAAGTCTGCAAACTCTACATGAAGTTTGCAGACTTGAATCAAAACTTGTTGGGGAAGAGATTTGTAGAATTGGCAGGCCTTTACCATTACTTGTGTCTCACGTGTAGGCCGTGCATTGAAACGTGTAGAAGAGCTTGAGAGGTTACTGGGCATTGCCAAGCAAAACTACCACCAGCTGGGAGGACGACTGGATGAAGACAGAGAGATGAGACGGAGGGACAGGGAGAGTGAACGGTAAGTCAAGACTGAAGGTAAGAAGTGATGCTTGAACTGAAGATGATGGGTGTGGTCAGCCACCTTTTGGGTGTGGTAAACCCCTCCCCCAAACTCAGCAACGAGTGATAGGTCAATCAAAATAGTGGGCTTGGTTGTTGAAAAGCTGAATGTGGTACACCAAACTCTTGGTTGTGGTTGACCTATGTGTTGGGTGTGTTAACCCCAATATTGGGTGTGGTTAATTCAGATGTAGTCCTGGGTTAACCCAGAACTGGGTGTGGTTAACGATACCAACGGCACATGCTAGAACCGGCTGGTGCAGTAATCCTTTCCTTGCCTTTCACTTCAGCAGCTCAGGTTAAATTCCCAGCTCTGTCCACATATGGATTATGTTTTCAGTCCCTACCTGATGTCACACATTTTACCAAGAATAGTCTGGGGGTTTCCCCCACCTCTAAATCTGTACTCAACTGCTTCTCATTGTCTCCTCTGTACCACACACCATAACATTCTTCGTTCTGAGAGGTCATCCTCTGTTGAGATGCAGGTATCTGCTCTGATGGAGTAACGAACCCTGATCAAAGATGAGACAAAGACAACTCCAGTGATGGGAGGTTATTTATCGTGCATTTTATCCTCAGTGTGATAGGCGAGTTGGAATCGCAGCTCGAGTATGAGCGGCTGCGACGTGAGAAGCTGGAGTCCCAGCTTGATGAGTGCCGCTCCGAGATCCAACATCTAAATTCTCAGTTAGAGAGAGCTTCCTCACTGGGAGTGGTAAGTAGTCATGAGCCAATCTTATCTTTTCTCATAGGTCGGCACTCTGTTTTGGAAAAAGAGCATTACACACACGACCAGACTTCTATTCATTGGCTCAGTATCAACCTGATTTGGCCCCTTGTGATGGGAAAATCTAGGTCATCTGGCAAGAGTGACAGGATTTTTCAAATCCGGATGAGTATCCTGACTTCATAGCATCATGTCTGTGGAATTCCAACCATGGTCTGTCTAAACCGTAACTACTGCCTGGTACCAAAATCAATTCTGAGGTGGTGTGTTTCTTTCGTCTGTTTCTCCTAGAGTGAGGAAGAGAGCAAGCCCAAGAAGAAAGCCAAAAAGAAGACACGACCAACAGACGGGGGCGTGTTTGTCAAGAGAACCGTCAACAAACCCACGGCCAAGAACACAGACTTTTTCTGAGCGAAGAGTTAAACAAGATGCAACGTCAAATGCTAGCGTGTAAATGGGAGGCAGTGTTCACACAGTATCAAGCATATGCATCCGTAAAATCAAAGCAGTGTTGCAGTCGAGTCCAAGTCCCCAATCATGTCTGATCCAAACCATCCAGTCATGGGCCAAATCACAAGCTATTCAAATAAACTGTCAGAAAAGCTTTCTTATGCCATTGTTCACTGTTGCTAGTGATTGGTCTCGTGAAATGATTAGTGACTGGACTTGTGATGAACAGTTCATCAACCGATGCTTGGAATCCACTCATCATGCCATTTTGAAATTTTTTGAGGATGTGCCTGGTATTTTTATTTGGCCATGCTTGATAGAATAATGAACTTAAGTCACAGTGAGTCTCCATCTGTATTTGGTAATTTTGAATCATGTGTCTTTGGAAGCAAGAAATCAAAGATTTGCACAAAAGTTACCTGCTTACAGTATCCGTCAATTCTGTTGAGAAATTTGAAATGAAAAGTTGTAAATTTCAACATTTGTTCTGCATATTTTCTCAGTATTAACTTTTGACCCTCTGTGCTGGGGAATGCCATTATCTGACCCTAAAATTTGTTTCTTTTGAAGGGTTGAGGAAGGAAAATTTTTCTCAACATGTCCAGACGCTGTCATGGCAGGCTTGATGAGCAACAACGCGACTTATGAAGAGTACTGCTTCTTGACATTCAAAGCTCTGGCATTTCTGGCCAGTCCATCATTGTAAACACGTTGGCCTAAAGCTTCTTGACCTAGAAATAAATGTTAAAAAATTGTGCCGACATTGTTATTGTAAATTCAAGATTTTCCATTTGCAGAGACATATTTTATGATGCATAGTGAATATTTTTAGATCAGCGTCCACTTTGTATGCATTTGAGAGACCTGTAGAGACTACTGACTGCAGTGTAATTAATCAACACTTAAACATCAACCGTAAAAAAAATCATAAAATTGTGAATTAGATTGAAAAGAATTCATGATTCAAGTTTTTAACAGGTAAATTGGCCAAGAGATTATTAGTAATGAGTAATTGTGTCTTTTGTTTCATATGTGCATTTGAATGTATTTCCGTGATTGTACATTGCTCCTTGCTACATACTCTGTATGAAAAACAAAAGGCTGACAATGCAGGTTTTTCTGCAAGACAGTGCAATGTGATCATTTAGTGACATTAACACTCGATTACATGGCAGACTGCATTCAGATTATTTTCTTTGCAGTTGGCATAAATTTATTGCACACTGGATATTGAAATAAAGTTCTTCATGGAAGTTGTCTATAGGAAATAGGAAGATATTTTGCACAGTGGCATATGTTGAAACTAAAAATGGTAGTCCAATGTAAAGTGGAATAGTTTTGCAGTAAGCTGATTTCAACTTCAAGAATCCTTAGAAATAGAGGGTCCCGTCCTTTCGCAAAGTTAGTGTTTACAGGCAATATGGGAATAAACAAACCCTTGACTACATTTTGGTTTCTGTGGAAGTGTTGTTCTCATTTTATTTTTGAAGCATACTGTCCAAATTCAATGAATGCCAGTCGCTTTAGTCTGTAGAATAATGGTCCAACTGTTTGAGAGGAAAAATGTAAGTCATTATTATTATTGACCGTGCAGGAGTTTGTTAAAATGGCCCTCCATACCTGTTAAGGTGATCTGGGCATGTTCAACCAAGCAATACACAAGCCACAAAAGGAATGTCAGTAAAGTAAGTCCAATACTTCTACTGAATGACAGTATACCAGTCGTCATTGGAAACAAATTGGCGACTCAACCTGCTTACGAGACTAGTTCCCCATGTCTGCCATCTTTGGTATGTAAACTGCGCACACCACCCTCGAGGTGGAATGCTGAATATGCTGTCCATATTACTCATTCCTAGCCTACAACAGTGATGGTAAACAGGTATGGTCAATACCACCATACGTAGTGCACTAATGAACACGCCCCCAAATGTTTTCAGAATGGATCTCCATGCTCAACAAGATGATCGTGTCTACCTCCACTCCATCAGTTGTCCACGACGTTTAATTGCTTTCGTAAACCTGACATCACATGGACTGTTTGCATAACAAAAGGGCTGGTGCTTGCGCAACTCCGGTATTTCCTAATCATTTCAAAGAAAATTTTGAAGTGGAAAAATTCCGGGCACAAGACATTTGGCCTAATTTCTCGTCAGTTGTTCCTTATATTCGCAAGAGGCTTGAGTCAGCCTCAACTAGGCCCTCACACAGTAAAAACGTGCAAACTGTGTCATTTCCGTGGGACAAGTCATCCCCATTCTCCTCAAGCATCTGTGTTCTTACGCTTTGCTACCGCGTGCATCCCCAAACCAACATCTTGGTTCTTACGAATGGACTACTCAGCGCCCTACTGTTCCAGCTTTGAGTTCACATGAATGACTGAACAACTCAATGCTGAAGATCTCTCTGGGTGCATTCAGTCGCAATGCAGCAGTTCTTCAACAGCTCTGGTCTAGGCAAAGTGTTCTCTCCTATATGGTCAGGACTTCAATGCTGTAGCTGCCACTCGTCTGTTTGACGGGTACCAACACGGAATCTTTGAAGCTCTGGAGGATGGTCTTTACGGCTTCTAGTTCAGTGTAGAATGACTCCTACAAACAAAACAGAAAGCAGAGAAAATAGAGGGAAAGTTTGACAGGACAAAAAGATGTCACATGCAGAAGTATGAAATTGTTGATTTTACCCACGCAGGCGTAGGGAATTTTGAGAGGGGAGTCAGATAACGGAATAGGGGGAGTGTCTACCCATTTCAACGGCAGAGGAGTTTGGCATTGGACCTTTAATACTCGCTTACCCACACCCCTTCTTTATGCTCCTCATTCTAGGAACTACCTTCTTAAAGTAAGTTTTCATTCTGGCAATTTTGATTCAACTCACCTGCATTTGCACAGATTGTGCCAGTTCAGCGAGCAGCACTCTTGCTTCAGGAGACAGGATAAGCTGGGTGAAGTGAGCATCTAATAGAGCACTTATCCAATCAGCGACCTGGAGACAATACAAACAGCCAACCCCACTTCTTATCACAGCCAGCTGGGAAATTGCTATTTGAATATCATATCTCACCAAAAAAGTTTTGCCCCTGGCAAACGACAAAAACATGAAAAAATGGATAGAAAATTTATTACAAATGGCTCACCTCCATTTGAAAAAGTGAACAAAATCGAACGAAAAACATTTTCCAAGAATGTCCCAATTGCATCCCAAATATAGAGCACAAAAACTGGATGTAGATACCCATGTTGGAACCCAAAATCCTTCCTACTCCGCGTCAGAAGCAGAAACGACGAAAATCTTGGAGTCCGTTGCTCTCCCCTCCAGTTCTTACACCCATGTGATCAACCACACATGCATGTAATTGGTGATGGAGGAATCCAAACTATCACCCAATTAGAAACCAGGCCACATGTAATCCAGAGAGTCACAAACTGGTTGAGGATCTCCTGAATAATGTCCAATTAGGACTCTGGCCATGCTTTATCAAGCATGTATGATGTATAACCAATGATGTAGTGACCCCGACTCTTGTCCAATTTGGAATCAGGCTATTCAATAGACCTTTCTTTTTCTACTGGCCGATGCAGATATCAAATAATAAACAAATAATACAATCAATTATAAATTAAAAATGCTTCCCCCCTTTAACCCTAGTAATGCCAAATCCAACAAGATTTTATGTGATCTACACTTAGCATCAAGCATTTGGGAAGGATGATATCAAATGGTAGCTAATATTAATAAACGACAGAAAGGTCTACAAAAAAACAAGTGCCATGACAAAAATTAACTATAATGTGTATTGTATAAGCCACTGAATGATGAAGTCTCTTTCTATGGACATGCAAGTTACTTGCACAAGAATAAAATGGTATGGTCTTAAGTCTTGTATCAGAATCCCGTATGTCCAAAATCGCCTCAAAACTTCAATTTACTCACAATGTTAAGAGTTGGCGTGGAGTCGTCCTGGACACTGGCTGGCATTGTTGACAGAAGAAAATGAAGATATCTTAGTAACACCTGGAAATCATTGACCCAAATCACACAGAATGTGATGCTTTTCATGGTAGGTTCTTGGAAAATGGCCTTTAAATCTGGTTTAACTAAGATACGAAGAGACATTTCAAATGTCATCTCAATTGAGCTTGTAACATTTAACGAAGGCTTTGGGGGAATTTGGTGGTAATTGGGTCTCAACTTTTGCATGGTATAAACAAGAACAAACAAGAATCCTTCAAGTAAAAACTGACTACCGGTGAAGCACAAAAAATACTAACCAATGATTTGAGCCAATTTGGTATTCCAACTGTGCGTGCCCAAAATGAAGCAAGTCGGAAGTCACTCAGGAACAGCACAGCTGACCTACCCAATGAAACCTAACGCCAATTCACACACCTGCAATTTGTTCAAGCTCTCCTGCTATGCTCTCAAAAGTCGAAAGACCTCGCCATTTTGAAATAGTGAACTGGCTCACTCTGGTAACCAAACTCGGAAGCCTTTACTGTGGTTCTACCATGCTGCATGTGCATGTAACCAATTATCTGAATCTTCGACAAGTGGGGTGCTTTGACCAGGCCAAAATGCATGAACCCCTCGCGTTCCAGAATGCACACAACGGGTGAAAGTGGTATCCTGCAATCAAGAGATCTCCACAGAAAACAGTAACACGGCAACCCGTAACCCACCACCAGCTTGGCTAGTGGATGGAAATTCTCCCTGGTCCCCATGCATATTTCTTCCCCTTCACTCTGACCTCTGGCTGGTTCCAGTTTACTCTACCGCCCAAAAGGAGAGGTTCTCACAACCCCAAGATGGTTCAAAACTCAAATGACTCACCAGAGCTTCGTCAAAGCTGAACTGTCTTAAGCTATCAACGATGAACGTGTCATTGAAGGGGCAGCACAAGGCTTTATTACTGAAGCAATGCATCAAGGGACATAACAGATCAGTGTGTAATGTTTTATGATTCTGCACAGCAACCATGCTTCAACCATCGTCGCATGTCAATGACCTTCTTGTTTAAAGAAATCACATTTCATTCCCTTAGTGTTTGCCATTTTGTTATCTGACCTTCCAAATACAAGCATTTATCACAGGGCTATGGTATCAATTTCAGTTGCCAAAGTTGCCAGAGCAAATGAAGAGCTTATTGCCAATACGAGGAAAGCGTCATTTGGTTCCTTCCCTTACGTCACCATCTCGTGGTTGCCTCAAGCCAGTTTGTGGGGGTATTACTTAATAAAAAACAACTCAGTGCATAAGAACAGTTAAAAAAACATTTAGGGAGACCTGGTACCCTCTTTTGATTTTAAATATTCAACTGTGGAAACACTGCTCAGTATTTCAATGGTGAATATTTCACTTTGCAATGAAACCATTCAAATCAACTCCCCCCCCCGGAATGTGTGGTAAAATTGACTAAAATTGGATGACTCATGACTTTTAGGATCAAACAAGTAACAAACTGTAGTTCACTGAACAGTAATATCCTGTTAGGGGTAAGAGGTTTACATCTGAAAAACTGCTTCACAAAAAAATCCCTGTATAGCCTCTCCCCGGGACTCCAGACCTGGATAAGCCACTGCAGTCGCCAACACAGCGGCGAGATGAGGAGCTCCTTCCCACCTTGCCGACTATGTCAGCTGTAGTAAAACCTGACTGAAGCTTCATTAGTCAGTAAATCAACTGCATGGCCTCCCTCTGTTGCATCTTTTTTAACTTTGATTTCAAAGGATACAGGCACTGGGCACATGCTGTTGACACAGGACATGCAGTAGAAGTTTCCGGTGAACTGGTACCTGTGGACTCCTGACTCCCATTTGATGTGCCCTGGATATGTCTACAAAAGGAAACAAGAGTCTGTCGGGAACTCTCACAGAACAAGTTCAGACACCAAAATCATTTCAAAGCATTCCAATCAGGAGATGTAACAGGATTTTGTTGCAGTAAAATAATTATATTCTGGGCTTGAAATATCCACATGACAAAGTCCAGTTTGATCCAAGTCTTGTGCTATTTATGACTAGTAATCATTACTGAAACCATCATTCGATACTACACTTGATCAAACCAAATGGTCATCTTTACGAACTTCTTTTGTCTTTTTAAGCATTTGCTGTTTCCCATAAATTCTCTAATGCACAATAGTTTTAATGTGACCTGCAAATATCCATTGTCTAGTAAATATTTTTTAAGCTTTTTGAGGAAGACCGAAGCAATGCAACAGTAGGTGCTGAATGTTAAAAGATCAGGGATGGTTAGTATTTATGATAAGGGAATCCATACAGTACCTGATGAAGAACTGTAACACTTTTGTCAAGATATTATCTGGGATATCCTGCATGTGCTCAACACAGGACTTGACAACCTCTAGGTCTCTCATCTCGATGGCCGACAGTAAAAATGACGGACATGAGCTAAACAAAAAGAATACATCAAAGTGTCATTTTACACATGTAATTTAACTGGTGCCATTCAAAAATCTCGAGCCCGGATTCTTTCACACCTGGTCCTAATTTCATGGCAATGCTGTACTGACCATATTCTGGTCTGTATCTTTGGTGGAAACTGTCAGAAGTTAGAACGGCAAATTTCTATCAAGCAAACAGCAATTTGCATAAAACACAACCAGTTTCTTCAAGCGTGTGCATATGATAGACCATTTAAGTCATTCCAGTACTAGTTCCTTCAAAATCCACCAGATTTGAAGAAATGCTCAGCCCAACCGCTAATAACTACTTTAAGCCGGAGCCTGCCAACACCCTAAACCTTCAGGATACCTTGGCTAGAAACCCTGCCAGACACATCAGGCTGCATCACGTCAAAGTGGCTTGCCCGCCCAGTGTAACAAGATCCAACAGGTCAATTCTCCCCAAGGCCCGACAACCTACGAGTCTGCGTTTGTTTTTCGATCAACCTTTTGCGCCTACCTCGCAGCCACATTACACTCTTCAATAATCCTCAGTAATGATTTCTTGGGCCAGAAGTGCTTCTTTGTCTCATCCTTGTTTCGATCAGTGATGTTGTTAAGAATCAGGCTTGCCAATAATGTCCTTGAGGGCAAGTCTAGATCGGTTTGGGATTTCTCCAAGAAGGCTTTGCAGACTCTGCTGAAGTGTAAAAGAGTTTTAACCTGAAGCAAAAAAATAATTGTACATAACTCAGGTGACACTATACTCACGCAAAAGCAATATGCTGTTTCTGCAAATTAAAGGACTTGTATATTGGTACATGTACATGCATGCGTATAATGCTGGGGTGAGATTGAGCATAAAGGCTTAAAGAAGCTGAATTGTGACAATACTTTTGTACACAGCCAGTGAGGGAAAAAAAGCTGAAATCCAAAGCCAAAAAAGCTGGAATCAGCTAAAAAGCTGAGAAATCTCACCCCTGATAATGTGACAATTTATACCTTAGTGGGATCTAGCATTTCTTCTACGATACTTTCCACTTCATCTTTGTGAGGCGTTGTTGACCCATCCTGTCAAGAAACAAAACAGCCAACTGAATAAAACTCTGAGCCAAATCTACAGTAAATGTTAATGACCACTGACCAAATATTGCTAAGTACATGTACACATGATAACATGCTCAAAAATGACACCCTTGTTGGCTGTGTAATTATTTTTACAAGCAGAACCAGGAAAATGCAATTTTTTATTAACTAGGGAGCAAGTATCAGGAAATTTCATTATGATAAAGCAACTGGAATAGAAGGCAGAAAAATTCACCAATTTCACAGATGAGGAATACCACTGTTAGTCAATACCAAACTTACATGCCATTTCTGCAAGCACTCTATGTCCAAAATCTTCCAAACTGCCACACCGAGGAAAAATCCCAATACCGAATTCTTTTTAGAATGTACATAAGTCATATGTATATTAAGGCCCATGCAAATTTACAGCGGCCAGTTTGAGTAAACTTCAAATAACAGTACAACTGTATAGCCAAATAATGTATAGCTGGGGTCAAAGTTCAGACAAACTAGGACTACATACAAGAATTATGAATTCTATGTTCAGGTACATGTACATTCTTGGTGCCGCTGTCATTAGAAGATACAGTTGTCGCATGCAACATGTCTGACTATATCAGATGCCCCAAAGTGTAAGCAGGCGAGGCAAACCTTCGTTTTGGGTTTCTCCGTCCAGTCAAGCGTGACTGGAATTCTTGACTGTGTGCTGAGGGCTGCTGAACTCTCTGTTCCTAATAATGAAGCAAGGCTGCCGGGCTGATCAGTAGATGATGACATACTGGCTCTGATATCTGTTTGAAAAACTACCAAATAATTCCAAAACATTAAAGTAAATGTTATAAAGAATCAGCAACATGCAGTGAGCATGAGCGATGAGTCAATCTGCACAATTGATCAGAGTTGCTGATTCGAGTCATGAGACGTGGACTCAATTCGCTTTTTTTGTGACTTGTGACTTGACTTGTAATTACCAGCTTTGACTTGTGACTTGACTTGTTTTGCAAGAAATGACTTGTTACCAACCCAAGTCAGATGCTACTCAACCAGCCCCCTATTCAGTCTACGCCTAGCGTGCATTAAAATGGGGCTTCGGCTCGCACACCAGCTTCTACTTCACCTAGCTGCAACTGCAGATCAGGGCAGCATGCATATCATGCTGCTACGTTGACGTTGTGCTGATGCATGACTAGGATAATAGCGCCCTCAATATGTCATCATTTCATCTCAATGCTTATTTCCACAAATGCCAAGTACATTTATTAAATGTGATGCACCATCCCAAAACCAGAATTTCGATTTAACATGGATCACTTTAAAGTGTAACAGCTGAAGGAGAGGAATTGTCCAACATCACAAATACCGACTTCAGCCTGGTTTGGGGATGGTGGATCACAAATTAAAGAGAGGTCCAATATGCGACAGATATGTGATAAACTGCAAGAATAGTAATTACAACACAAGTGAAAAGGGGGAGTTATAGAGGCACTGTCAAAATAATTGGACAAAACGTGTTCAGCTGTCTGAAACTCATAACTTGTAACTTGGTAAGTTGACGCCTGGCTCTTTTTGCCTATTACAGCTGGGCAAATTAATGTGCGGCTTGACTTGTACTTGGACAAAGAGACTTGGGACTTGACTTGCCCTGTGACCAAATGACTTATGACTTGACTTGTGACTGGACCTAATGACTTGTGACTTGACTTGGACTTGCAACAAGTGACTTGCAGCCACCTCTGCAATTGATCGGTTGTGCCGTGCTAACAGTTGATCCTTCACGAAATCTCAAACTTTAGTTTTCGATTTCAACATAATCTTCCACAACCTTGAATTAGAATGGAAACTGTAATCGATAGATGGCAAAATTAAATGTACTGTATGAATAGATCACGCCATCAGATGGACCATTTATTGTGCAGAGACTGAAGGCACCCAACACAAATATTTGAGTTTCTCTGAGTGACGAAGGTGGATAAAGTTATGACTCAACCTTATCCCAACAACTGTGGGGTTCAACGTCCGCTGCACTCCCACAAATTCTGGGGGTAACTCAAACTTGCTGACAATCATGTCCATGTGACAATGATGGGCAAAAGTGGTGATCATTATCATGTTTATGCAAAAGAGAAACCTCTAAAAACATTGATGAAATTCCTCCGAATTGCAACAAATGTCACTCATATGCATGTTAGGAATCTGAATTTGAAAAGAAAAACAATTCCGGCTTCCATACATGTAGGCCTGGTTCAGATCATGCCAGATAGTAGATTTAGGACTACATTACAACCATAATGTTAAAATAATGGTAAAAAAGTATTTAGGCACGTTAGGCCTAAACCGCTAAATTAAAACAATGAAAATGGATTCCCATGATTATGGTGACTCCAAAAATAAGCAAATTTCTTGAACTATGTACAGGACTAGGCGTGTGTTCCTTCCTCCATGTGTTCCTTCCTCCATGGGTGGACTCCCTGACCGTAGTATGTTATGAAATGAAGTCAACGTCCAACCATGGAGGCCGGAGGTAGACTCCATGCATGGTCCAACCTGGGCTAGGTCATCAGTCACGCAACAGGCAACGAATGGTTGTTTGCTGTACATGTACGTTGGTTGGTTTTGTAAAAGAAAAAAATGACAGTATGTATTTGATTACCCGAAATCCTGCGGTGGATCGGTCAAAAGTTTGGTTTACCTTGACTGACGAATCGCATGTGAACTGAAGATGAACACACAACACACGTGCAACTTGTCGACCGTACCACACGCGTGAGACATGTGGGCACCCGGCCTGCAAACGCGTGATCGATCGACTGAGACGTGATACCGCCCTCTACATTATATTTACAGGACAAAACCTCACTGCACTGCTAGTTCCACACGCGGGGCGCGTCAACGTGGCGTTGAGCTTAGTTTCCAAATTCCATTTCCCGGGACAGGCACGGAATCCTTTAATTTTCGTCGCTAAACTTTATGCACAAGAACTCCTGCATGTCCTGTCTTGCTGAGCGAGGCCATACCTCAATATCAAAAAAGCGGTAAGAATTTTGACGTCAGGCCTCAGGGTGACCTTGTGTCAGTGGTCATGTGATGTTTAATTGCTGTCACTATTATTTTTTTGTAAAGTCAACAGCCTTGTCTTACCGCAAATACTGCATGGGTGATTTTGCACAGTGGTAGAAAGACATTGTGGGAAGGAAAAAGGTCGACCGTTGTGTAAAATCACCCATGCAGTATTTGTGATGAGGCTTATGACAGTATTGGAAATTAAGGCCTCAGTATAGTATGGGTCACATTCAACATGATTTTCCAGGACTGTTGGTTTTTCGATGTACACTGAACAAACCTTCACCGTGTACATACTCCCATACTTTTAACACATTTTTTGGCTGTTTCAATTGTGCCAACTTACTCTTGCCATCACAGCTATTTGTGCAACCAAATCACACATGCCTTCTTGGTGAATATGGGGAGGTTTATTCACCTTATATCCTCATTAAAATGGTGAAATTCTTGAGCATTTTGCCCATCCACACTACAGAAACTCAGCAGCATGCACTGTACATGTACGCTGGCCTGCATTAGTCATATATCGCACATGTGTGGCAAACTTGATGTTGTGGTTTTGCAATAAATTGTTTATTCTGAACAACAATGTAACTTACCCCTGTAGTGTGTGCTTATTTTAATCAAATATAGTCGTAAATCCCACTTCTGAAGTTGCCCACGACCCCTCATTTTGGCATTTTTCGAGCAATTGTTTTTCGTCCGTGTAAAACTGCCATTTTGAATTACCTTATTACGTATTCATGAGTCATGAATATCATTTGTGCAGCATTTAAACCAACGGAAGAAAAGTTGGAGCAGTGGGAAAAGTTTTGTTATAAATATATATTTAACCGATATGTTTTGTGAATGGTTTCTGGGGTGTCAAGCTGCCCCTTGGTAACAAAAATTTGCATGTGAACACTTTCCTTTTGATATGCAAAGCAACAACAATTCCAGTCAAAACGCTGCTCACAACTCGCGAAATGGGCTTGATTGAAGCCTGGAATAGGGATGGGATTTCCAACTGAGAGATTGCCAGACATCTAAAAGTTAGTGAGTTTGTCGTTCGATATAACTTGAAGAAGTTGGAGGAATATGGATCTATGGAAAACCTACCTCATTCTGGCAAACCCAGGTCTACCACGGAGTGGGATGACCTGCAGCTCGTGAGGTAGTCAAGGAGAAATCCCTTCCTGACTGCCCCTGAATTGGCAATGGAGCTTGCCACGACAGCAGGGGTGGAAGTTCACACAAGCACTGTCTCCAGGCGACTTTCTGCAGCTGGTTTGAATGGCAGGGTTGCCAGGCACAAGCCCCACCTTACTGCCGACCACAAACAACTGCGATTAGTCTGGGGCGGGAGCACCTTGACTTGACGGCCGACGACTGGAGCTGGTTGTTATGGACGGACGAGTCCGTTTCAACTGTTCCAGTCCGATGGCAGGGTTTATGTGTTGAGAACAGTTGGAGAGGAGTTCAAGGAATGCTGCGTCGTTCCTTGACGCAGCACGGAGCCTCAGGGATTATGGTATGAGGCTGCATGAGCTCTGCCAGTACCGGCAGCCTGGTGTGCGTGACAGAGAACATCAACGCAGACGTCTCTGTCGACATCCTCCAGGAGACCATGCTGCCAGCTGCCCACTATTTGATCGGCCATGAATTCCTCTTCCAACACGATAATGCCCCGCCACACACGGATAGAATTACCCAGGAATTCTTGGCTTATCTGACCCCTTATTTCTTTGAGAAATGGGGAGGGGGTAGTTGGCAGTTCGAGTTGATGACTTGGCTGCCATCTTAGATGCCATTGACTTTATGCACACGAACATGAAAGCGTTAGCTTTCGGACCCCAAATTAATCGGAATTGTTTGTTTTCACACCAGAAACATAAATTTACCGGAATAAAGATATTAACACAGACATAGGTAAAATTTTGTGGGCCTTTTTTAGTACTTTCCATGAAAAATTACACAAAAGTTGTTCAGTAACAGTGTGTGATATGACTTATGCAGGCCAGTGTACATGTATACATGTACATGTACTCTCATAGCTTGACCAACCGCAACACAGCACCTATTTTTCCTTGTTTTCTTTTCACCCACAGATGAAAGCCGTACGGTGATTGGTCTAAAGACTCTAATTTGCTTCCATTCCAATGACCAATCACAGCTCAGCTTTCATTTGGAAGGTCACAGTTACATGTATTTAGTTAACTTTTTCTTTTCCTGCATTTGCTGATGGCTTGCTTTGTATAGTCCTTGGTTTTACTTACGTTGTTAATTCCTGTCTTTGTTTTGTGTGTTTCTGATTAATGCCAAATAAATAATAATAATGATAACCTGGCAAATGCCTGGAAGATGTTAATGATCGGGAAATTACATGCTTCAAAGATTTCGAATCCGGGCCCATCATGACAGTTTTATCTAGTTGTTCAGTAGCAAAAAACATGATTGATAAGTATCTCTACTGAGTGGAGTGTGAGTATGCCTCCTTTTATGATTTTGGACAGGATCGTCATACTAATGCTCCGTGCCTGTACATAGAGTAAGGTGACAACGGTTCTCAAAAATTCCAAAGACTCACCAAAAATACCTTCATCACCACCTACTGGCTCCCGTAAATGCCAGCGTCAAACGGTTGGGGCTTCAGGGTCCAAAAGTGTGACATTTTTGTGTCCCTGTTACACCTGACCTGTGTAATTAGACACGGAAATATCATTGTAATTGATTTCAAACTATTTCCATATGTTTGGCAGGTTATTTGCATTAATTCATCACTTTTAGAAATCAGAGAACATTTGTGTTCTGAAGTTACAATTTCATATGTCAGATGTGACAGGGACACACACAAAAATGGACCCCTAATTGTAAACATGTACCTGACCTTTGAGCTCTAAAGAAATGCCTAGAAATAAAGATTAGAAATTAGAATACATTTATTACATATATGTATAAAAGTTAAAGAGCTCAGCTACACTAAAAGGTCGGTTTTCAATTTTTTGGTAATTAACTTGCATGAAATTTGTAATAAACTCTTCTCTTGTTTTTAAAACGTATTGCTTTACTCATTGAGTCCTGGTAATTTCCACCCCATGGACACCTGCAGTAAATTTACTGTAAGCATAGAGCCAGCAACAGACAACAGGTGCAGGCTGACCTTTTGCATTTGACCCAACCCACTGTTGTGTGCTGAGAACATTGCATGTACACGTACACATACACGTGTGGGTATGTACATGTACTGTAGCTCCTTCCGTTGCTTTGTCTGTACATTGGCTCAGCATTCATGTCCTGTTCATATACAATCAGCCAATGTTAAAAGTGCAATCGGGGGGGGGGGGAGCATGTTTTCATTGTGCCTGGGCTGGGTGAATAGAGGTTTTCCCCAGTGGCACATTCACATGGCTTTCTTGGTGGCACAAATTCCTGTAATGCACGTGATTGCACAACATGGGCCTACTTTAATCAGTCATCGTGCACACATATTGTATGTTCAAGGACGGGACATTTTCTTTCCTGCCATTTATTGATACTCAAGGACAATCAGCCTGTTCTTTAGCAATGTGTTCTTATTATTTGTAGGACAGTTTTAATCCAAAGGTTGCTTCCCTGGGACAACTGTAACAATATCCTGTTTTGGGGGGGACAATTGCTTTCTTCAGTCAGAATATAATACAATCCCCACTTACACAGTGAGTCTTCACATGACAACTCCCGCGCCCCATTCCGCCCCAACCCACCCCGTCCCGCATTGCATCAGTTGGGTAACGGCAGCTTATGTATTGTTTTTGTTAATTGTGACACACTACTGTAGTCAACATTGATGTACCACCAAACGTGCAATTGAGAGTTTGACATGAATTACATGTAACAGTGTACATGTAATTCATCCATTTATTCAGCATTTGAGACTCCAAATCACTTTAGTATTTGCCTTAAGATGCTGTGTTTACATTACCACTGTGGAGAAGAACAGCACCAGAGAATGTCCAGCTAATCTGATAAGCAGATGAGTATAGATTTGTGACACCAAGTCCTGCAATTGGCATTAATTGATCGGCCATGTGTACCATTATTTAAGTGAAGTGCTGTGTTGAGAGAACTGGCATGTGAGACTGACCGGCAAAAAAACTGCACAACCAACCTTTTGAACATACACCACCCAAATACCACCAAACAACCAACCAGCAACTAAACCCGACCAACCAGTGAAAATACCCATCCACTCAACCATCCATCACCCACTCAATGCCAACCCAACCTAAACCCCAACCATCCCCTAAAGTGTGCCGTATGAAATGTAAAGGTTTAAAAGCAGAATTTGCATGTACATGTATATGTATAGGTGTACATACTGTACATGTACATAAAACCAATGCTCTCATAAAATCATGTGTGCTGATTCCATAAGGCAGCCTTTGCATGTACAAGGTACCTTGCAGTTTCTTGTGACCAGCAACAAATTGACATGGTTAATCCTACAATATCTCTCAACTTGTCTTTGAGATATTTTTTTTCACAGATTATAGATGTACAATGCATGCATGAAGGATTAATGGGCTATGAAGAATTAACCTGTTAACAAAGATAATTTGCTGATCACCTGTTTACTCTATTTACACATATGCTAAAAGACTTGCTTGCAATGTTACATAACGTGCCTTCATTCTGGTAACTTGTGACTGATCAAAATCTGATTGCACAGAGGTTGAAAGTGCATTGTCCCTACCCTGATAACTGCTGGTATCTGATCTGCTGTTTTGTGCATGTAGCAGTTAAGAGTTAGCAGGGTATAGGAGCTGTGTAGTAGTGGTAGTTAGGCCATCCGACCTGTATCATGAGTGGCGTTGGGTTGCATTTGCCGGGGTTATCAATTCTCCTGTGTTAAATGTTGGTGCATTTGAATTTGTTGCATTTCATTTGGTAAGGTTCCTACCGTACGTGTAGGAAAGACCTGAGGAAGGGATGGCAGTGCGGCAGCGTGCACTTTGACCTTGGCAGCATAGTATAAACATGAGTTCTTCCATGGTTCTTGTACCATATGTGTTCTGTTATGGGCAGCCTGTCAGTGCTTTTCTCTTCTCGATTGTAATGAAGCTTCTTTTGTTTCACCCGACAGGTTTCAGTGAGACATCTGCCTCAGCGAAAACAGTCTGACTGATTTGCTATTCAGGTCAGCCAATCTTGACTTACAAGACACTCATGGACAATTTGTGGTCGAGCACCCATAGTTGCTGTTTGGATTGCCAGCCTGCTATGGACATTGTCGGTGGCAACTCTTGTCACAATCCCCTGTGCAGAATCAAAGACAGCCTGGTGTGGTTAGTTGTTCCCAAATAGTGCAGAGATTTTCAGCGAGCGCGAGTCTGGGAACCAGATGCAGGCAGAATGCCGCACGCTGAAATCCACACCGACGTGCATGAACTGCACACCCAACGGAACGGGCGTTGGTACTTTGGTGGGCTGGCTTCTGCAGGGGCGTGCTGCTTCACCCATCCTCTAGATCTCATCAAGGTAGGAAACCTCCCGAGACTCTTCAGTCGTTGGGAGGGGCAAATTAAACACAGGATTCCAGCTATAAGTCAGCATCGTTGCCAAATAAAAAAGGGGGGGACATCTTCTCACTTTGGCTGTAATCCTGAGCAGTGAACCAGGTTAGGATTTCAAAATAATAAGGTAACTTAAGAACAGAGCACACATGTGAGTTGGCATATGGCCGCATTGATAAGGCAGGCCTCACATGTCTTTTGGTATTCCTGAATGACTTGGGATGTCCTTCATTTCAGGCTTGCTCAGAATAGTAAACTGGCTCATTGGTAAGCATTGCGTAAAAGAGTGCATGTAGCTAAAACTTGAGCAGTAATATTTAAACTATTTTCCACATTGGATTCGTGGTGACCCCGCTTCCATCTCTGTGTCCACAGGTCCACCTACAGACCCAGCAGAAGGTCAAGTACAGGGCCAGTACCATGGCAGTGTACGTTGTGCGCAACCAAGGGATCCTTGCTCTTTACAATGGGCTCAGTGCGTCTATTTGCAGACAGGTACATGTAGCAAAGACAATTTAACTTCTTGCTCAATCAAGGGCGGGGAGGGGTTGAATATTTGTTTAGCAGTTTAAATTCGATCCAAAATCTGACCCCCCAAAATTGCTATAGAACTTCTCAGTACTGGTACACGTACACGTATTTTGTACCGGCAAGTGTGATATAAATTGTTTGTTGTATCTGAAGCACTGTAGTGGGCAAGAGTTTATCAGATAACCCACAAACTGGTAAAGACACTGCCAGCGTACAGCAAGGCTGCATAGCTCAGGGATCTCTGGTGCGGGGTCTCTGTACGTGTATATCTTCAGAGTGCTAACTTGTCATTCCTCGCGTAGAGAAGCTTTGATGCCTCCTGGGTGCAGGCATTTTTAATTCTTTAGCAGCGCATGATGAAATAAGATAAAGTGAATTCCATATGATATACATGTACATGTACTTGTATAAAAAAGTTTTCTAAATGCACATCATAGGCCACTACCGGTACTAAAAAGCATATTCAAAAGTCAGCAGCAAAATTTATCTGCAGTACATTGAGCATACGTGTGTGTTATTTGGCGCAGATCTACATGTATGCGTTAGTAATGGGTGTCAAATGAAACACTTGCTCATTTGGTCCTTTGTTTTGCACATTTCTCCAAAGAAAAGTCCCAAGTGTACTCCTTTGCTTGCCAATTATAAGATGGTGTCTCAGCGCACTTGGACCGGGTGTTCAGGTACTCAACCTCCTCCCGTTTGGGGGCTGGAACCGATAGGTTCACCGGTGCTTTGCCGTTGGATGGCCAGTGTCACATCATTCTGCTGTAACCTCATTACAATGTCTCGTAATCATTGTTGACTTTTGCTTTTACATAGATGAGCTATTCCCTGACAAGGTTTGGACTGTATGAGACCATTAAGCATTGGATGACAGCCGATAACCCCACCAAGCCCCTGCCATTCTACCAGAAAGTCATGCTTGCTGCTGGGGCAGGCAAGTCATTTGTCCATTCCACAACCACACTTTTTTTTTTAGCTTAGGGCTCCCTTTTCATACATGTATTCTATGGTTCTCATTTCCGACCGACCCTATTTTGGGCTCCGGATCACGAAAAAAAAAAAGCTTTTTTTCCCCGCCGACCCTGCTAAAAAGACCTAAACCCTAAAAAATCTTAAGGGAAAAAAATTGGCCAGCATGACCTTTGAAAACAAAAGCCCTGAAAACTTACGATTTCGCAAACAACCAACAGCGACGGTCGGCGTTCGCGTGAACATTCGGTATACCACGCTTTTTCGTGGCCGACTGAGGTTCGTGCATAGCCCTACACTTGTCTTGACCCAGATTCGTACAAGGGGATTTTCAACGTGAGCAGCATGGTACCGACCAGCAGGATTAGGCTTCCTCAGTCCAGCGCGGTATGTTTTGTGGCTTCGGGTAACAATAAGAACATGTGTATCCCATTTGCATGCAAGTGTACACACAAAACGTGTTTTTTCGATTTTTTTCCTTCATTTATCTTTGTTTAATACTTATGTATATCAAAAATGCAGAGAGAACAAAAAGGCCCCTGTACATGAAAAATTGAGGATAAATGACAAGTCTACTCGTGTTGCTACGCGCGCTGATCATGTCATTCAATATGGCGGCCTCCACTGTTGTGACCTTCGTTAGTTGCATGGTCCAAGTAAAATCACGGAGTACGATTATGATAGGTCCAACCTGGGTCCAAGATGCGGCAGAGAATACTCAGTTAAACAAGTATCAAGAATATATGTACATTGTGCATTTGGCCTGGTTTATTCCGTCATTTATCCACCAGCAACATGGAATTTGTTTTTTTTTAAGGTTTTTTTTTTTCAACCGACCAACCTTATCTCAAGTGGTAAAAGAAATGAGAACCATACAATTTGATAAGGGTGCCCTTACTTGATTCCCCCCCCCGGTCATTCTTGTGTAGATAGTGTTGTTGTTTATATTTGTCTTTGTTGTACACTAGCCCTGTTGAAATATCCCGTCTCCGCACTCCTTTGCTATCAGCAGAGAATTTTCTCTTCAAATTTGAGGGTATCATTCTCTTAAAACACAGTCAACTTGCTGGAGGAGACTTAAAAGAGATGCAGAAAATTGAACAATTTCTGAATAAACTTTGTCATCTAAAATGCATTTAAAAAGTATAGATATTTTATTCATAAAAGAAAGATATAGCATGGCTAGATATACATAATGGGGTGGTCCAGGTTTGGGCTACTGGTAATTGATATAAATAACATATCAGTGTTTGTTCTTTGCAGAAATTTTTATTTGGCTTTACATTTTAAGGAATGCCTTTTTTCTCACAGAAATACTTGCTGACCTTATGACACATTTGAGGTTTGCTATTTGTCTTCACAGAAGCTAAGATCTGAGGGTCAAGTTTGTGAAATTTGAGTGAGAAAGCACCGGTAATACATTAATCACAAGACCGGAGATCAATTTAAAAAATTTAACAGTCCATGACCACACACATAATGTCGCTATTTGTTTGTCAAAAGTTTTTATCCGGAACTTATACAGTGTATCAAAAAAAGAGAGAGCTGCGTACAAATGTATATGAAGAACATGCAAGACATCACGAGGACTCGTTAGTGTAACATCAGTAGTTGTTAGACATGGTATTGGAAATTTACCTCAAATTTGATTCAACTTAGTAATACATTTGTGTTTACTTATCATTTAAAAAGAGTTTGACTTTGGTCCTTGAAACGAGACACTGTCACTTAGAAATGACATGTACATGTACTTAAGTGTTGCAAACGTGCTGTTGAAAAGTAATTTGAGTGTGTGTGCAAGTACAGTCCAAGACAAACATTAATAACAGTTTTACAGTTCTAGACTATAATAAGCGTTCTGGAATAGGGTCAGGTTTAGATAAGATTAGATAGTATCGTCTATTTAAAGCTCATTTGTCACACCACAAGTGAGTCGACAGAACTTAGAATTGACTTAAGGTGGTCTGACTTCGTCATCATCAACAGCCAGGTTTGACCCTATTTGTTGGACTTGGGACTGTGTAGCCCAGCTTACATATACATGTAGGTGATCCAAAGGGTTCAAAGTCAGAGGGAGTCAAGCGGTTAAAATACTCCACCAGATTTAGTTGGACTCCCTTGGACATGTACCCTGACTGCATGTACCTTTGTTAAAATAGCAATTCTTGGTACCTATTTTCACGTGACTGTTGAATGATAAAGAGTTGGTCGTCAATACACCACAAGATCTCAAACCAACTAAAGATCTCTCCCACCAACCAAAATTCTAGTCTGATTCAAGACAGGATCTATTCAACCAAACCTCTCTGTGACATTACTGTATTTCGTTGCTTTAAACCCCAATAGCCTAGGCCCATTTGACTAGGATACATCCTCAATCCTTCATAATGCTCCAAGTGCCCCCATGAAAAAATACAGCCTCAGTCCTCCAAAATCCTCCAACATTTCTTGAATATGTTCTGTGGAGGGGTGCCCACTGCCCCAATCCTTCAAAATCCTCCATTAATTCCTCTCATTATGTTGAGGCAGTTTGAATGGCATCCTGGAGCATACAGGGTTGGCATGAATTTATGCATTCTGAACATAACACAAGGTCTAACCCACAACCTTGAGACAATGCATCCTTCACAATCAGCAATGCAATTTTGCCATGCAGCCTCAATCCTCCAAAACTGCCCGAAGGATTTTGAAGGATTGGGGATGGTTAGGGTTAATATTGGAGCGTTGGAAGCTGATATCTCTAGCGGCTTGCTCCCATAAATTTAGCACCTCAATGTTGTGGGGAGCAAGTACTTGACCTCTTGAAGTTGAGTCCCATTTCAAGCCCTGAACTGTAATATTCAGATGATTGATGGTGTCTCCCCTTTTGTGCTCATTTAGTGATTGAGCCTTGTCAGTGGAGAGTGTTGCTTCCAAATGAGGGGCTTCAGTGTGGAAAGAAATTACAGTTTACAATGCAAAATGACAGGGAAAACAAGCCCCAAAGTTACCATCACATCATCAGTCATCTTTTTTCATGTGCTTGAACTCGCCCGAATCTACGCAGTTTATGAATCTGAATGCAGACTGCGTATGCATAAAAAAGGAACTAAAACTTCATTTTATTGTTGACTGCAAAGAGAGTGTTTTAAAAATTCTTCTAGGTCCACAAAACTCAAGATACTGATACATATTCATGTACAATTTACTGAATATACATGTACATGTACACAGCGAACAAACAAACAAACAGATGTACACAGGGAACAAACAGACAAATGTACACAGCAAACAAACAGACATGTACATGTACACAGCTAACAAAAAAAAAAACAGACAAGTACATGTACACAGCGAACAAACAGACAAGTGTTCGTACATGTACACCAAGAAACAGGCATAGGGATGTCAAGTCATGCAAGTAGTGATAGAAATCAGGGGTGAGATTTGCCAGGATTTTCCCTGATTTCAAGATTTTAGGATTTTCCGATTTCAGAATTTTCAAACAATTTCTTTTAAAATCTGGAGTTTGCCATCAAGGTTTTATTATGTGTAAAGTTGCCAGAGAATACAAGAAGTGGGTGTTTTTAAGGAGTGCCTTTAGGAAAAGAACTGCATACCATAGACCCTATGCTTCTGTGGGGCTCTCAAAACCTAGGGTGATTATTTCCTGAATATTTCATTTTCATCCAGTCTCACCCCTGAGAAATGATTGCATGGTTTTTGGCGAGCTGCGAAGCAAATGCGAGCCCTCGTACATTTATGTACATGTAATACCGATTTCTGTCTTCTGTTCGTCCGTCGGGCCGTCCGTCCGTCCGTCCTCAAATGTGAAAGCTTTTCCTTGCAGGTCCATGGGTTTTAAAATGTGCCTCTGAGTTCTTGTTCGCTTCCTCTTGGAATTCTCTCAGTATTTAAATAGTCTCATATGGCGTTAATGCTTTGAAGCGTAGTTTATGAAATTAATGAAAAAGTTATAAAAGTTGAATGTTAACGTTTTGAGCTGTACTTACCCTGTAGTACATGCAGTGTACATGTACTTGTACGTGTATATGTACCGGTACCTACATGTATACGTATGTACTGACCACTCCTATAATGTACATGTATAGACAGTGTATAGACACATACATGTAGAAATGTACATGTACACTGTGTGGGAAAAATGTAAGGGATGGGGGACAGATGGGGGACAGAAGTGACAGATAACAACGTAGGATGTTTGTTGGGGGAGCGGTACCTGTAGGAGGAGGATTAAGGGGACAAGGTACATGTAGAAAGGGGATGAAATGCTGGATAAGGTTGGTGTAATGGTTGGGCTGGATTAGTGGGATGATGGGACAGCCAGAGTAAGAAGTGAATGATGGGGAGGG